CTTTTTTAAAAAAGGAGTTACTTTATTTCTTAAAGTATTTTTAGTTATTATTATATTATTACTACTAGTTTTTATTTTATTTATTAAGGTATTATTCCTAAATTATATAAGTATTACTATTTATATTATTTAGGCCTAATAAGATTTTAATTATATTTTTTTAAAATTTCCTTAGTATATTATTAAAAGTATAATATAAATTACTAAGTTACTTATCTTAAGTATATAGGTTAGCGTTAATAATTATTTATTAAATATTTTTAATATAAACTTCCTTATAATTACTAAAGGAAAAATTACTTTTATATTACTTATATTACTTTAGTAAATTAAGTAAGCTTATATTCTTAAGAATTACTATTATTAGCTACTATTACTATTTTTATAAATCCTATAATATTTTAAGTTATATAATTATTACTTTTACTATAGTAATATTTTTTTAAAAATATATAAGGTTAAGTTCCCTTATAAAAAAAGGGTTTTATATAAGTATAACCTTAGTAATAGGATTAATAGTAATATACTTTTTTTATAATATTAGTTTAGTAATACCTAAGTAAAAAGTTATTATAATTATTATTTAGGTAATTTTTTAAAAAGTTTAAAAATTATTATAAAATATAAAGTAAATTAAGTAAATAGTAATTAAAGTAGGTATTTTAATATAAGAAGACTTAAACTTAATCTTTTTAAAAAAAGGATTAATAAGGGAATATATAGGGAAAAGGTAGTAAGTCTAGGGTTATATATAGGGGTAAGTATAGTACTATAATCCTATTATAGTTAATTTATAAGTAAATTAAGGGATTTTTTAATATATATAATAGCCTTAGGCTTAGTTTTTTAAATTTAATATAAAACTAAAAAGTAAATATAATAAAGTAAATATAACTTTATTATATAATAATTACTTTTATATTATATTTATAATTTTTATAAAATAATAATATTTACTTTTTTAATTTTAGTAAGTTAAAAAGTAAGAAAGTATATTATTTTTTATTTTCCTATATTAACTTAAAAAATCTAAAAAACTTTTAGTTTTTATAAGTATTTATATTAAGGATTAATTATAAAAAAATTCTTAAGTTTAAGCTTAAGCTTATTTTTAAAACTTTTTATTATAAAGTTTAAATTAGTAAAAGCTTTTACTTTTAATAAAAAAAGTAGTTTTAATTAATATTATAGTAGTTAAGAAAAGTATTAAAGTAGATTTTAGTAAGGTTTTTTAGGGGGCTTAATTTTAAAAAGTAAGTATTATATTTTCTTAGGCTTTTTACTTATAAAAATAAAGGTTAATATTTTATATTACTTTATAATTAATAATAATAAGTTTTTAAATAATATTATTAACTTTTTTTAGTTTTATTAAATAAAAAGGGTACTTAAGTAAGTAAAAGCTAAGGTAATTAATATATTAAGTATTATTTAAGTATTTTTTTTTTAAATAGTTAAGCTTATTATAGTTTTTATAATATTACTTATAAAAGTAATAATATTAAAAATAAAAGTTTTAGTATTTATTATATTATTAAAAAAAGTAAGTTTTTATAATAAAAGTAATAGTATTAGATTTTTAAAATCTTTAATAATAAATAATTAAGTTTTTAAAAAAGATAATTAAAGTATAATTATAAAAGCTAAAGAAATTATATTTATTTTTTATAATTTTTATAAATACTTAGCTAATTTAAAAAGTAATTTTTTTTAAAGTATTTTATTATATTTAATCTTAAAAAAAACCTTTTTATTATAAGCTTATAAAATAATTAAAATATTCTAAAGAATATAAAAATATTAAGTTTTTTTAAAATTAATATTTATAATTTTAATATTTTTACTTTAGGTATTTACTATAATAATAATTTTATTTTAAGTAATATTATTTACTATTTAAATAACTTAACTTATATTTATTTAAAAAGTAAAAAGTAATTTTAAAATATTAATATTAGTAAGTTTAGTAATAATATACTTAATTATAAAATTAGTTTTAGTTTAAAATAAAACTTATTTATTAATATATAAAAAAACCCTAAGGTTATTATTTTTATATTTAATTAAAATAGTTAAGTAAGGTAGTTTAGTAATTTTATTAACTAAGTTAAAATAAATTATAAAAGTCTTATTAATTATATTAATAATCTTTAAGATATATATTTAAAGTAAAGTAGGATTAAATATTAATAAAAGTAAGATTAAGTTATTATTTAATATAGTTTTTTAAAAAAAAAAAAATATTAAATAAGCTAAGTAATAAAGTTTTTTTTAATATAATTATTAAATTAAGTAATAGCTTTTTTAAAGGTAAAGCTAAGGGTTTAAAAAATATAAAATTTTATTTATTATTAACTAAAAAAGTTAAATAAAATATTTTTAATAATATTAATAAAAATACTTATAAAAAATTTATAAAAGAAATTATAATTTATTTTAATTTATTAAGTATTTTCTAAAAGCTTATTAAAGTTATATATAAAATTAATTAAGGGAGTATTATATAATAGAAAAGAAATATTAATTAATAATAATACCCCTTAGAAAAAAATAATATAAATATAATAAGGAGTCCTTAGATCTTAAGGCCCTTAAGGGGTTTAAGGTAGGTCTTTTACTACTTAAATATAAGGTAATATTATTATAGGCAGAGGAGTTTTTTTTAATTAAGCGTTTATTAGTGTTTTAGGTATAATATCCGCAGGCTGCCTAATAGCAGTTATATAGATGTGTTATTATAAGAGGAAGGTAGGTGCTATTGGCGCTGTTTTGAAAATAAGCTTTATTGCAGGGTAGGCCATGATGTTTAAGCTGCATGAATTAGTATTTCCAACACGAACTGTGTGAACTCTACCAAGGTAGGGGAAAGATGCCACAAAGAGTTGGCGGACATGGGGACAGGCCACATGCAGTAAGAGGGCAACAAAATACAATCCAAGGTTGCATGTGAGCTGACTGCACTAGTAGCAATGCTCAACTGCCGCCAATCCATTGATTCGTTACATGGTATATAAAACTTTGCCTTTTTATAGCTTTGAATCCATGGCTGTCGATTTTTAGACCTCGTATACATGCAAGGTACCCAGTGATGGCTGCAACCCACATCAAAAGTCAAAGAGTCGCCTTTGCCTCCCCGCAAGTTCCGTTGACAGCATCACTATCTCAACCCTGCCTGTCTTTTTATATACATACCAAGGATCTAGATCCGTGGAATGTCTATTGTTAGAGTATCTAGGAGGCCCCGGTTGCTATTGCATAGATGCTTACACGGAGCAATTGAGATCAGTAGATAAAATAACATGTTGTTTCTCACCCACAGCTGATCAAAAGTGACAACCTGCTGTTTATAAGTGTCTATACACGGGTTATTGATTCCATACTGAATAATGTACATCATAATGTTTTTGTTGTAAGGGAGTATACTCCCGTACCGTCGACTTAGAAGCGTACATACATGTAAACTGCCGTGTCTAATGAAACCCTGCCCAAGCCACGCTGACGAGTGGCTTCATCTGGTATCCATGGATTGGGTGCTCTCTTCCGGGACATTCATGTATCTGGAAGGGAGGCGGGATATCGGAGCTAGTCATGCGAGAAGCCGTGCGTATAGTTGAAGCCAGCATCAGCTTTCACTGGGGGCGGGTGTCTCTTCTCGGATGATGACAACGTGAAGATGTGACTGGGCCGCTGTCACTACAAAGCCCCGATCTGGTCTTACTAGAGAACTAGAAGCTAGGCCAATCCAAGTGTAAAGTGTACTTACCTATGCCGTCTGTTACGGTCGTAATCTTGCCTCGTGTGGCGTCTTGCGGAGTTTGTCCATATATGAAAAGAGTGGAACTTCCAACTAGCGGGTTATAACGCCTGAAGATTATGGATGACAGGTAGTTTCTTGACTCTCTTTTCCTAAGCGGTGGCGGGCATTGGGTAACTGGTTGTAAAAGCCTTGAACTTTACTCATCTATGCGAACATATGTCTAGAGTGGAGGGATCTTGGGCGCTAGTTGTATGTCTGGATGTGACTGAAACAAGAACTCCCTTTTGGTTGTGAATAAATGAACCACATACCTTAGGTAGTATAGTATAGTATGGTAACTATAGTACCGGTATGATTGAAGTACTTGCCGTCTTTCCGCAGGGCTGTGCTGCTCAGAAGAATGATATAAGTTGCGGGTATGACTTAGTAAGTATAAAAGTACTTTAAACGACTATATGAACAGCTGTAAAGACGAGTGCGATGTACACAATTTGCACATTGAACTGGTATGTCTTTCCACGCAAGGCTTACACCTACTAACGCAGGGATATTTACCCCAGCTTGCCCAGCCCACGATTGCACCTTTACAGCCAACCAGGCACTGCCAGGTGGTGAGCCTACGACAAAATGAGTGTGTCTCAGACATTTCCATTACTAGTGGGATTATTCTCTAGAACGAGCAAACGGGCTAGGTCTAGGATCAGATCAAGGGAGCACCGCTGGAACTCTTTTTCTCCAATCTCCGATCTCCAACCCAAGATCAGTGAAAAACAGGAATTGTCTTAGTGTTACCCCTCCCACTTGTACAGTCTTCTCGCCGGATTGCACGTCTACCTGCGCGCTGTCGATATTTGCATCGTGAAAACTGGCTAATGGTCCAGGAGTAGAAACCATTCAGGTCTGAGTAATGCCCTAGGGGCTGCGAATTGAGCGTGAATTCCGTGTGAACGACTATGGGGATGTAATATAATGCTTTATATGGGAGAGAAGATGACTTTGTGCCAGATCTATACGGTCAATGTTGAACCTATTGCAATCTACCTAGCGAAAATCTATTGTAACATCTAAAAAAACATTCCGCCGCTAACGCCAAACTCCTAGTACTGTTCATACATTCGTTTCCATCCATCGTCATTCTTGATATACAAACTTGATTGATCATACAGGACGAGAATCATGCCATCATGCCATCATGCCGCTCTCCCATTTGGAAAATTAGCAATCACAAACCACGTAAGCGATTTCATCGAAATTGGTTCATGTATTCTTCCACCATTTCGTGAGTAGGGCACATGTGTGTCCAGATTTCTTCCTGCTCCCCGAAATCATGCAAGCCATGGGCGAGGTCGGCCACCTCACGCCCAGCACAAATAACGAACCGCCAAGTACGACGAAACCATGCCTTCACCCGTACTGAGAATTCATTGGGTATCTTGAGGCGAACAGCAACCCATTTGTGATCAGGTGCGTGGTCCGTCCGAAGAGGCTCTGTGGGTTCGGGTGGTTGCTCTGCAGATTGTAGCAGTTGCTCGTCCGCCCACATGTTGTATTTGGTCTGTTCCGGAGGCAATACCATCTTCAAAAATTCCAAGGATGCCGTGATGGTGAGAGAGATTGCCCGTGTCGGATTAACCATGGACTTCATTAGTATTGACATCCATTGAGGATAAAGCACGGCGAGATCAGTCATTGCGAGATGAGTTGATCCAACGATTGTGAGCATCCAGCACAATGCCCCAGATTCACGCGCTTCATCACTAAATTCGACGACTTTATCAAAATTGTCTTTCCAGTGCATGAAAACCTCGGATGAGATTGATATAAGCGGCTTCGCGATCCTTTCTTTTCGATTTTCTCCAGCCGGAGGCGTTGCTTGACCCCAGGCATCCAGAATAACTCCCTGACCTATCCATTCCAGCGTATGATCGCGGCAAATCTGGACCGTGGTCGCACCTCCGAACGAGTGTCCCATCATAGTGACATTATTTAGAAACATACTGCCTTCCCAGTCTTCCCAGTTGACGCCATTGAGACCCACGGAGCTGGATGCCACATTGCCTTTCTTTCGGAGATTCAGAGACGCAATATCGTCTCCATGACCAGAATTGAGTAGATCGAGAATATAGAAGGCCTCTTTTATCTCTTCTTGCCGCAATTCAATTTGAGCCGATCTCAAAGTGTGATCAACACCTCTGCGGTTGTGAGGAGAGGTGTCCTGGGCATTGTCTTTGGGGAGAATATAGTCGACAACATAGTATGGATTCGACCCTTCCTTCCCTTGACGTTGAACCTTCTTATCTTTGGCATCATTTTCCTTGCCATCGTTATTTGTGTGTATTTCGGCCGTTGACGATTCTATAGCAGCCGCCTCAACATTGCTTGGAAGACTGACATATGTCCTCGCACCGCTGCCATCACGATGTTCTATCGCTACCACAATGAATCCGAAGCTCGCAAGCTCTCCACAAATTGAGCTGTAGCAAAGCCGCGAACCACCAAGTCCATGGCTGAAGATGATGACGGGAAATTTTGGCCGACTTGTAGGATCTTCCTCGTCCTCCCTGGCCTTCCGTCCGGTTGGACCAGAATCATTGCATATGTCTTCCGGCCAGTGGGCAGCCAGTTTGGCATTTCGAAATGCAGGCAGCTTTGTGAAGAGGGAGGTGCAGGCAAGGTAGGCCGTAACTGGGAGCGCTGGAATATGAAGATACTTGGCGTAGCCCTTGGCAGTTGCAGCTCTTGGTCGTGGCATCCAGTCGACGCGGTGGGGCTTTTCTGCACCACTAGAAGTTTGTAAATCACACGGATAGTATATTCCCATCAGGATCGTGTCCAGTCGAAGGACTGGTTTCCCGTTTCTTCGAAGTTTGGAAACAGGTCGGGGATCGCGAACTGGAACTTCGATGTCCATATATCCAACATTGTAAGGTCCATTGTAGTTAGGAAGTCGATGGAGAAATAATTCTCTGAATGTCTTTCGTGGTTTGATAGCTGACCTACGAAGAGGTTTAGTGGTGGCCTGCGGAGGATTCGCCATTGTGTTTATGCTGGAATGAAGATGAGGCTGCTGAAGTGTGTTAATGAGAGTTGAGCATGGTGTTTGTTCACTGATTTGCTCGTTGCATAAAAATAAGTTCAAGCTTACTGGATCAGCACGGGGATTTGTGTCGTCGTTGACTTCGATGTTGAATGTTTGGCCTGTGACGTCAAGACTACATGTGCGCTCAAAGGCCGAAGCAGGCTTCCCTGCGGGTCTATAACGGTGCACATCGTCACTGCGACTTTCACATGCCTCCAAAAGAACTGCTACGAAAGATGCTGCAATCAATGAGAGAATTTAGGTGAACTAGCAAAAAGTTAATAGTGAGCTCAACTAGAGCTTATATCACTGCGCTTTTTCTTTGATGCATTAAAAACATTGATATATGGCAGGCTGAAACGCTTTGTCTATTCTAATTGTTTGACAAGGTCATCATGTTGATCTTTGTTCCTCACACAAGCGCTTTTACCTTTGTTTTATAACCCCCTTCTTACAATTGCGACAAGAACATATAATATTTAAATGCATGTATGTAAAGACAATTGTTCAATTACTTCATGAGAAAGGCTTATTTTGATCACACCTTGGTACCTGCCAACCATCTTTGCGATTAGAACTTCTTGAACTCTCCAGTTCACGCGAGCAGTACGAGTAAATAAATGATGACGACATGATGCAGCCAAAAACATTGAAAGTAGCGTCGCACCGATGAGATGGGAGTGGGGCCATTCAATAGCCAATAAAAGGGCTTAGTTTCAATGCTCTGCAAATGCGCTGCTGCTTGACTCATTCGCCGGCAAAAGTCGGGGCTAGATTAATCCGGGAGGGCAGTCCCCGCTCACGTGACAGATACCTCTCGCCCACAATCATTTGGCGAAATCCCCCAAAAATTTCACCGCGCCACTGCAGATTCAGCGTCCACACATCATCGCCAAATCAATCTATCACCATGGGTAAAGTTCACGGATCTCTTGCCCGTGCCGGTACGTCCAAACCATCCCCAAAAGTTTCGCCTTTGTCTTCAAGCCCACTGACTTCTTTCTTCTCCAGGCAAGGTCAAGTCTCAGACTCCTAAAGTACGCCGATTCGACTCGCTCAACTCCCGCTGACGAATCCAAATACTGATCATTTTTCCACCCACAGGTTGAGGCCCAGGAGAAGCCCAAGACCCCCAAGGGTCGTGCTCTTAAGCGCCACAAGTACACCCGACGATTCGTCAACGTCACCCTGACCGGTGGCAAGCGGAAGGTGAGAATATTCGAACAGATAGGAGCATCCGGAGTTACGTTGCTGACGGCGGCGATAGATGAACCCCAACCCCGGCTCTTAAACGGATTAGACCATGGCTAGGGAGAGAAGGATGTAAAGATTGACAACGGGGCCGTTCTCCGATGGTTGCTTGATTTCAGCAGAAGCAAATGGAATGAGTCGGGTCGATTGGCAGGCTGAGCATCATCCACAGTTTGAGAGGTGCGAAGAAGCGCGACGGCTTTACTCGGCGTCTGGTGTCGTTCGTCAATATAACGAAGATTCGTCCGCGATGATAAGGTCCCATTAGTGATGATTTTCGTGATGTTAAGATGGGTTGAAATCGCAGGTGTTTCTACGGGCGAAATCTACCACATGTCTATTCCATCCTGGTTTGCGGATTTTCTATCTGCCAGAAATTGCTTAGTACATACGGGACTTGTAACCTGCTGCGCTGATCTTTTACATGTCCCATTTATGATTACTTTTGAATATACAAAGCACAAATTTTTAGCATCCGGGTATCCTTGACTTCATGCCCATATCAGCTGGCACGCGTAGAGGATGTTAGTCGGATCTTTTATATCAACAAAGACTGCCATATTGTTTATGCGTATGTGACCTTGCCGGTGATTTCTTGACAAAATTACAACAATTTTGATGGCGATGGTCTATGCCTTCCCATAGAAGAAAACGCTTTGAGCTGTCACGGTCACGTGATAAAGATGCAGCATCCAACTTCTCTGCCCCGCGGTCCATAGCTGATCTGATCTACAAAGCTTCAGCATTCGTTCAAATATCATTTCCCTCGCAAACACTAGCCATTGCCCAAGATGGCAGACGTAGAAATGGAAGTCGACGACGTTGCGCCGTCATCAACGCGCAACGAGTCCGAAATGCAGACACATACCAAGGCAACAGCGGTCCGGTCAATCGAGGGATGGATCATCATTGTCACAAATGTTCACGAGGAGGCCGACGAGGAAGCCCTGCAGGACAAGTTTGGGGATTATGGAGAAATAAAAAATCTTCACTTGAACCTCGACAGACGCAGTGGTTATGTTAAGGTACGAGACGTGTCGCAAAGCCAGAACTTGCAGACAGGACACTGACTCTTTTCCGCCAGGGCTACGCCTTGATAGAATACGCAACACTGGAAGAAGCTCGAGCTGCAATCGACGGGGCGCACAATACAAAACTGCTGGATCAAACGGTGCAAGTCGATTTTGCCTTTGTCAGACCCCCCCCTGGCAAGGGTAGGCAAGGAGGAGGCAGAGCTGGAGGCAGGAGAGGACGCAGTCGAAGCAGAAGTCCCGACGCCAAGGGCAACGACGCATGAAGATTCTGAAATAATACTGGGGACAGCAAGTGTGCGGCCGATGTGATGGCCCATGGTCATGGCACGTCGGCATGTGTAATTTGATTCAGCGAGGTATGGGTCTTAGAAAGCGAATAATTGTCTGGTTCGTGGCTGACTGTATCTCTTAGGATGCCAGAGTCAAACCCGAGGCCATTGGGATCTCATTATCACCATTATAAAGATGATGGCAAGGGGGCCGTGTCGAATTTGATGGATAGCAGGCACGGTGACTTTCAAGTTGGCCCTTGACTCGCTCAGGAAGCAAATGAAGCCGTACGATACAATAATCACAACGCCGTGACCTCGGACTGGATGGTCTTGGGTTTAGACCAATATCATACCCCGAAAGCCTTTCTGAGTAGCTTTGACTACGCATCGCATAAATGGAAAAATTACGCAGAGCTTATACTTTACGGCCTGAATCCTACATATCGTGCATGACCGCTGGTATTTGGAAGTATGCGGTATCTGATCACAAATGTTGACGCATGTACTCTGAATGTAGCTCGCATATACTAATACTGTAGTCAGTCAAGCTGCAGTCACGAGGTGGCACAAGACATCATCTCCATATCAAAGAAATTCCCTCAAGTGAAGTCATGTATTATCTGATTCTGCCCGACCTGGCCTAATGAGCCCTGAGCTCACTTTCCTCCCAGCAAATGTCTGGTGTTTTGTCGCGCTTGAAGCACGCTTTGCAACTCCTCTGCCGTCAATGGTGGCAGCCCCCCACCTGGCAACTGAAGGCTCAGGATTTCCCCACTACAGCGCTCGCCAGTCAGCGTCTGGTTATTACAGAAGTACAGTGTACATGTGCCTGGTCGGCGCAAGCTATTACAGGCACCTTATCCTCCCCGGTGACTTCATGCCCACTGTCGTCAGGCATGATCGCGACGACATTCGATCCCAATCTCCAGCAATCCGAGATACGCAGCCATTTCCCCGCGCGCGCCTCATAGCAAGACGCAATTGAGTCTTAGAACATATAACAAACCCTCCCACACGCGATGCGCCATTGAGCCGACTGGCATGGCTCGCCAGGCGCATTTCGACTCGAGGATTATGCGCAAGCTTCTCGGCAAGGCTGCGCCAGATGCCTCCAGCGGTGATCTGACCAACAGCCAGGGAAACATCCCGACCGTCTTCCGGCCTTCAAAGTCACAGAATGCCGTGCATCCTGTGGGCAGCCCCATTGCCTGCCTCGACATAACGCCGGATCACCGTGCCGTGGTTCTCGGCGGGCCTCACGTCCTCAAAACGATAGTTTCGGATTCCTCTGTCGACTCTAGCTTCAGCTTCAAGTTCACCGACGGGGTGGATGTTAGGGCAGCAATTACGGCGCAGAAGCCATCCGGTTCGGGCGGAAGTCTTGTTGCAGACCAGCTCAACATTCGCGATGTCAAGTGGCAAGGCGCGTCGACGGTCTTCACAGCTTGTGCCGCCGGGAGGATCTTCGCCTACGACGTTGCCAGGCTCGGTTCCGGAGGGGCAGCTGATCCTCTCGACTACATACAGATCCAGGAGGACTCGCGACAGGTCAACAGCTTGGATGTGAACCCTCATCTTAAAAGCTGGGTGCTGTCCGGTAGTCAGGATGGAATTGTTCGCGTCTTTGACGTCTCTGCGCCCCTTCAGACTCGGGCCGGCTTCCTGACCTTTAGACAGCGATACGGGCAGCTGAAGACCAATGATTCTGTGAGACAAGTCAAATGGTCACCCAAAGTCGGCCACGAGATGGCTTGTTGTACCGATTCCGGAGTGATTATGAAATGGGATGTACGGCAGCCATCACGGCCTTTACTACGGATCAATGCACACGAAAAATCTTGCTCTGCCATTGCCTGGCATTCGGATGGCATCCATCTGATCAGTGCCGGCTGGGATGCAAAGCTGCACGTCTGGGATTTTGGAGGCTCGGCAGACAAGCGGCAGAAGCCCAAATGGAGCATCACTACACCAGCACCTGTGACCACGGTCGCTTGGCGACCCGGCCTTTGGTCTGCGACTGCTCAGACCCGACGTCTTGCACAAGTTGCCGTGACTTACGATGAGACGAGTAATCGACGATATGGCACTTCAGTCGTCCACATCTGGGATCTGGCAAGGCCCGCAATGCCTTACAAAGAGATTGAGCGATTCGACAGCTCACCATCAGCACTCTCATGGCTAGATCAAGACATGCTCTGGACTGTGGGGCGGGACGGCATGTTCAATCAGTGCGATGTTGCCTACGCTCCAAAGGTCATCGACCGGATGTCTACCTCCGCCATGGCTTTTTCCTCCCGAGGAGACGTAGTCATGTTCCTTGACGAGCGACCGCAACCTCCTCGGTCACACCCGTCTGTCGGTCATGACTCCGAGGTGGTGCCCCGAACTCCATTCAGCACAAGCCCCAATACCCCAATGCTTAGCGTCAGCCGGAGTGACTCGGAAGAGGATGTGCTCGGCAGCTTTCTGGGACCACGAAGGCGAACGATTCGGAAAAGGAGGTTTAGCACCAGATCTGGCTTGCCAATGAGCACCACTCCGCCGTCCTTGCCCAGCTTATCGGATGATGGAAAGCAAGTTCTCGGCTTGGAGCAGTCGATCAATGTTACTGGCATGTTCAAGACCCAGCAAGGCATGGCGTCCGGTCATGTTCCGTCTGCAAAGTCGGTCGGTGTGTACCAATATCTTTCCGGCATTTACCTGGAAACACTTCAGCGAGAATTACCTCTAGATAAAGGCGACAGGTCACTCATCGAGCGAGTGGCGGGCATCATGGAGCAGTATGCTTTGGCGGCGGAGAATGTCCGACTGTATCGCCTCTCGCAGACATGGCGCATCCTAGCTTATGCCATATCCCTATTGATGGAGAGGCGTGCGGACTACCACCTGAGGCTTCGGACAGCTCGCTTCCGTAAAAGGAGTCTTGACGAAGGAAAGGGTAGTCTTAAGAAGACGCCCAGCCACATTCATGTCAGCCGTCTCGCCAACGGCGAAGACACGCCGCGCAGACCATCAGGGCAAGCCGCCAGTGTCGATGGCCGCTTATCAATGGCGAGGTCTCTGTTGGCAGAGGAAATTGAGAGCACGTCCAATGTACCAACGCCTGTTGCGAGGCCTGTGGGCGAGGGCGATACGGTTGAGTGGGACGAGCGACATTACCTACATGGGAAAAAATTAACACCCATCATCGAGCCCGAGAGCCTCAACTTGGGGCCTTCTGCTCATGGATCCTATCGTCCAAGTCCACGCCAACGTCACGATTCAGCCCCGATTTCAGAGATGAGTCATGACAGCGAAACATCCAAGGTCTCCGTCACAGAGGGGTATGACTTTTACGACATGGAGGCGTTAGCACGAGCTATCGATGTGCCAATGACCAAGAAACCTTTCGATGATGCCGAAAAGCTCCAGCGAGTAAAGGCCATACGACACGATTCAACTGATAGCTTTGCTCAGGTGTTTTCCGCTTCTGATAGTAGCGATCCCACTTCGCCGAGGAGAGACTCGTCTAATCCCCCTAGTTCTTTGAAGCCCGAGTCATTAAAGATATCGGCGGTGGGCAATAAAATTGCTGCGGAGTTTGCTAGTTTGGCTCATGTTGATGGCGAGCAGCATTCTCCAAAACAAACCAGAGGGCCGTCAAATGGCTCCGCAACTCATCCGCGTGCAGACTCCCCTGAAGAGGTCTTCATGATCTCTCAGACGACCGCTGCCACGGACGAGACTTTTCCGTCTCAAATATCATTTGCTTCACAAACCGACTCGGAAGTCCATCAGGGATTTGCAGGTCATCACCCAACCCCATCCAACGACATTCAAAAGGCGAAACCTCCCAGCCCTGCTCCGGTGGTGACGGCTCCCGAGTATGACCCCAGCCCTCATATTGTTTTGACCGATTATTTCCCCTGGCTGGGTGATGGGCCTTATCCTTTCCCCACAGAACCATCAGAATCCAAAAGCTTCACACCGCGCAGCATGCCTGCATGCCCACTTGATCCCTACTCTCTCATAACGCGAGCTCTAGAGTTTGAGTCGCGGACTTCGGCACTCAACGCCTCTGCGATAGTGCTCCTACTTAAGCCCCTGGTCCCCCAGTCCATCATTGACACCTTTCAAGCAACTGCTGTCTTGCGACAGCATCACTCTCGTCTCATGGGAATGAGCCTCTTCGTCGAGGCCGCTCTCCTGCGCAATCTAGCAATCAGAGGCTGGCCTGCTGGGTTGCCTTACTGGGGCGAGAACTACACCTCCCTATTCACGCCAGCGCAACAGGGCGTCAAAGCAGGCTTCATGTGCTCAAACTGTCGCAAGCCCCGAGAAATTGATCGGAGCAACGGGGACTCTGCCTTTTGGACATGCGAAAAGTGCCGCCAGGTGGTGACGCCCTGTGCGATATGTGGGCATAGGGATGCGGAAATCGCTAGCTCGCTGCCCACCGAAGTCGTCGACATCCCCAGCATCGAGTCCTGGATGACGGAGTGGTGGTACTGTCCCAGCTGTTGCCATGGCGGCCACGCATCGTGCATGCAAACATGGCACGCCGCCCTCCGCCCGTCCGAGGCAACCTCGTCGTCCACCGTATACAGCGACGGGTGCTGTCCCGTCGACGGCTGCGGGCATGCTTGTCTTCCCGGCAAATACAGGGGCGAGACGGCGACTGCCCGAGCCAACGAGCTCAGCCACGCCGTGGTGGACGGCGGCCGTATGCGAGACGGAATCGCGGGAGCCAACACCAGCAGGAGGTCCAGCCCTGGGCGAACTGGTCCAAGTAGCATGGGCGTGGATCGCAGTATCAGGAACGATGCCAATGACGTGCTGCAGAGCAAAGCTGTTGGAATGGCGAGGGAAGCGCTCAACAAGGGCAGTGGAGGCATCTTGAGCTCAAGCCCTGGGCGGACCATGACTGGCGAGAGGGAGAGAAGGAAGAGCGTCAAATTTGCGAGGACGGAGCGTTGAAATGCGAGGCCTGTGGGTGATGCCTTCTTTTGGGGGGGATTTTGTCAGCATTTGCTTTGTTTTCTTTACTTTCAGCATGGTGTTCTGGGAAAACTATTGGGTTTGCTGCTGGGCAAAAGGGGGAGTCTGTCAATTTAGTAGCTGTCACAGCAACATGTCAGGGGAAATGCAATTAGAAACGTGTACAACCCATGGAATTTTGAACAGTCAATAAACGAATACAATTTTGATGAGAATTACCCATCAAAGTTCTATTGAATCGCTTTACTAGTACGCTGAATATATGAGATACACGGCTACTGCCGCCTCTGCGAAGGATATCTCAACCCTCCCTCCTCCTCTCTTTTTCAAGACACCGATACTAAGTGCCCCCTTACCTCCTTTTAAGGCTTCAACCCGCAATATTCTCTCGAAGACCCTTCGTCCTCAGCGTAAACTTGGCATCGCCAGAAGCAAACGGCAAGCCCAAGTCTCCATCCGGACTCCACGCCCCATCGGCCACATCGCCCCTTGCACCATTACTATTACCATTACCGTTGCCGTTGCCATGCGCACTATTGCTCTTCGCAATGGCGTTTCTCAGAGCATCAGCGTGTTGCGTCGTAAGGTCACTATCCGAGCTCCCGCGCCTGCTGCCCGCGGCGCTACTGCTCTCCCCATCCATCAGCGACGGCACGGCCGAGAGCCTCCCCTTAAGCCTCCCCGCCCAAAGGCCCCTGACGCCGCCTTTTTTCCGCGTAGGAACCTCCTCCGAGCCGGCGCTGCAGACGTACAGGAGGTACTTTAGGTTTGGGAGCGTTTGTCGAATGTCGACCACTTTGAGGCCCTGGGAAGCACATAGAGCTTCAATGTCCTTGTTGAGGAGGAACCAGGCGTATTCGAAGCGCCACTGCAGGGCGGTTGATCCTCCCCTGGGAAGATAGAGAGGAAATTCTCGACGAGAACCGCTCTTGTCAGAGAGAAGAGAGATGTCATCCTTTGCGTAGGAGCGAGAGCCATGATGATACAGTGGATAAGGCAGCGCATGACCCAAGTAAAGCTGCAAGTGGCGTGTGAGTAGCGCAACCAGCCCCAGCCCAGCTGAGAGAACGTCTTCGTTGATGGTCCTGGCAGTGGCGGCGTCGTATATCGAGTTTGGTAGCGGCACCTCACAGATTTGGAAAGAAAGCGGCGGCGCATTAGGTATGGGCATAATGGGGAAGATGTCGGCCAGCTCGGAGCAGATGCGACGACGCTGGCCACGGATTTGCTGCTGCGTCTGTTCCAGTAGCTGCTTGGAGGCCAGCAGCGTCTCGCGATTGTTTCTAATATCTTCATCTACCTTTTCCTGGAGCTCTCTACCCGTGGCAATGGCGGCCCTCCGTTTAAGCAACGACTCCTGCAATTCGTCCCTTCTCGCCAGTGTAAGTCTATTTGTGCGCTGCTGCATGTCGACGTACTTTTGGGCCAGAGCAACCTCTTGCTCGGCCACGTCCGGCGCATCGGTGGTAGAGCTGCTCAAAATCTCGTTAATCTGCTCCATAATTCGTTGCCGAGTCTGAATGGCGTCTTCAATGGAGCTCTCGAGGTTGGCCAGCTTCATTAATGCATTATATGACGAGGTTGCGATGGGAGGAGCGTTTCTCGGCTCGGATTGTCTCGTTGGAAAGTCAAAAGAGTAGACGCCGTCTTCGAGGTGGAATATGAGCGCATTCGGGGGGTATTGGCGGTCCAGCAGCGTGCCAATGAAGTTGAGGTTCCTGAGATCAACCAGTTCCTCCAGCAGAAAAGTCCATGCCGTCTGCTTCAGCCGCCTGGCCCATACTCGGATGACGATACGGCAGGATTTGGAGACGTCGCCCCCCCGGGATGCGAGATCGAAGAATTGGAAGTTGAAGTTCTAGAATGGACAAGAAGAAGAAAAGCAAGTCAGCGTCGGAGCCTTTGCGAACTTTTGCCATGATGCGCAGGATCCGTTTGGCTCATACCGCCGATCTCTCGCGCACTTCGCTGACGTAGACGGGCTCGTCGATGCCGGCAACGTGCAGCGAGAAGAAGACGTCCCCGAGAGTGTCGTCCAGCAGCTCCTTGAGCCGCTTCTGCCTCTGGGCCGGGCTGAGGCTGACGGTGCTGAGGCTCGTCCTCCGGGGCGGCTGCGACCTAGACCGTTCGGGCCGCGCCTCGTGTCGCAAGTTGTCCGACGACCGCGAGCCATGCAGCTGCCCGGCCTCCTTGAGCGCGCCCAGCTTGTTCGGGCTCCTAATCAGGGCGACATCGTCCGAGGTGCGCAGCCGCACGGGGGCAAACGACAGGTTCCGCAGCGAGAGGCCCTTGAGGTGACGGAGCTTGCGGTTCTGCGGTAACAGACGCGGCCGGCGAGGTTCGGAAAGCGTGGACATGGATGCGAGGCTCGAAGCATGTCGTCAAACGATCAGAGATTGGAGTCGGCTCTCGCGACCTGCACGATGGTGTTGCGCCTTACTGGAGCATATCAGGCTCGGGCTTGGGATGAGGTTCGTCACTGTGAGGTTACGAATGCGCTGGGGGTGATGTAGTACCTAGGAATAGTGGGAGAAGCTCCGAGGCCCGGCCATAAGCATAAGATGTAGCGGGCGCGGCATGGCTTGTAGCTCCGCACTGAGAAACTGGGGCAAGGTACAAGCTTGGTGCTTTCTGTAGTACGGCTATTTGCATAGGTACCTAACTGATATTGAGCATAGCAGACTCGGGCTTCATGGGCTAGCTAAGAGAAGTATGAAGAGTAGAATAAGAAGAGAAAGAGAAGAGAAAAGCTGACAAGTGCGCCTCTGTGCCCGTTTACAGAATCAATTCTACTAAAATTAGCCCTGCATCATGCCATGCGAGTGAGAAGCATCCAATTAATATCCTGCATGCTGATGCATATGCTCACAGCTCTGTTGGCACTTACATCATGCAGTCATGTCTTTCTACCCCTTAGTCACTACTACTATCATTGAAGCTCACACCATTAAAATTTTCTAGTGAGCCTTTAAATGAGAAAACATCTTTCCACAACGCATTCATTTATTAGTTCATTCTCAGTCTGCAGGCTCCAGCCGCAAAGCAACTTTCGCCCCAGATGTGAATAAAATTTGATGACTTGTCGTCTTTTTTCTATCGCAACTAGTCGTATCCTACCCTAGAACAAAAATTCACAATCCGGAAGAGACAGACTGCCCTCCCTGCCGCCCATGATTTCCATGACCTTAGAGAATGAGTACCGGTGAGAAAAGAAAAGGGGAAATTAAAGTTGAAAGAAGAAGAAAAGAAGAAGAATCAGAAGAATCAGAAGCAGGGGTAGGATAACGTGTCGATCCTGATCAATGCGTAGAGAGCATCAGAACCCTTTCCGGGTCATAAACTCATCGAGGCTGAGGTCGGCTGTCTGCTTGATCAAGTTCACCAGAGGCGTGAACAGGGGGTTCGTTGCAGTACCAGCAGCTGCCGCCTCGTTGATGGCCAACAGCTCCTCCCACGACTTCCAGTGCCATCCGTCGCACTTGTTTGGCTCCTTGACCTATAGACACCCGTTAGTCACCTCATCTAACATGACCATCCGTCTGATTGATAACTGGGAAAGGGGGGGGGGGGGGGGGGGGGTGAAGAAGGCCTTGTTGTGCATATGTAGTTCATGAGAGTCTTACCTCTGGCTTCTGGTTCGGGTCGTCCATGACACACTTGGCGAAGATTGTAATGTAGTGCTTGCCGTCCTCCTTGAAAATATCATTCGTAACAGTAAAGACACCCTTTCCCTTGATCGCTAGGCCCGTTTCCTCATCCGTCTCTCGCTCGGCACACGCCATGAACTCCTCCTCGGGATCCAAGTGTCCGCCAGGGAACTGCCATGTACCTGTGGAAACCCCCTTTCGTTAGCCCTCATGTCAACAAAAACGCGCAAGAGATACGCTTTTTATCCCGTTCCAAGGCAAATCAAAACACGCTATAGAATTCCGTGAGGGTGAGGTGAGTAAAAAAAAAAGAGACACTTACCCGCGCCATGGCTGCCCTTTCGGATGCTGCAGAGGAATTTGCCCTCTCCATTTTGGACGACGGCTGTGACACCAACTTTGGGAGCAGCAACTTTTGTAAGTTCGGTTGCTGACATTTTGGTTCTGGTAATGGAGATTGACGATGAAATTTGAAGATGATGATTGACAGTTGCCTTGATAACGAATATATTCCATTCAAAGGCTGCAGACACCGGTCTTTATGTACATGGTGAGCCATCCTGTAAGAAGGCTTATGTAATGCGCAAGGCGGTGCGTCTGGCGTACTACGACGATGCAGCGATTTCAAGGCAACAGTTCCTCCAACAAAGAAACTCCACATACACCAGAGGAACAAGCCATGGCCGAACAAAGGAAGAGGTCACGATCCAATCAGGCGCTTACTGCCTAAACCCCTAGAGTCTCGTGTCGCCGTGGCAAACGAGCAGCTTCTTGGACTTTCGGAAATCTCTTTGACCTCGCCGCCTGCATGCATTCCGACAACCCAACGAAGGGTGGCGGTGCTCGTTGGTTTGCTCCTCTTGTGCTACCAGGCGGCGCCTAATCCTTTGTCCTGCACAGCCTTCAGGATATCCATTGCTCTACGTGGCATTTCTCTTGAAAACCCCTCAGGGTGCCTCTGGTTTCGTTCCTTTGTTCACGTCTCTTCGTCCTTTCGCAAACATTGCGTGGCACGGTCTCGTGACGCCGCTGTCCGAGAGGCCTTGATTGCACTGCGCAAATCAACAACAAAGCAGAAGAATGACTTGAAACGAGATGTAAATCAGGAGGCCTACTGGTACTACCGATTCCGATCCCATGACGATCAGCAATTCTGGCTCAGACGAGGCATCAGCTTCAGCAGACGCGACGCAGGACCAGTCATTGCAAACAGTGCTAGGAAAAGAGAAACGGCATTTCGCCCCTTCTCACCCTCATGTCAACGGCTTTTTGACTGGAGCAAGCAGCAATGTTAACTGTCTCGGCCAGTAACATAGTGAGACAGGGCGGCCCTGGCAGAGCAAGGAATTCGTGCTGTCTCAGGGCCACATTATGGGAAGCAAGGGAGATCAGCTTGCCAGGGCTATGTGTTGTCAACTTGTGAGTGGTGTTCCCTCTCACCGTCTCTCTCCACGGCGTCGCTGCATCTGCATGCATATTTGATGTGACGTAGCCAGTGTTTTGAGTAGATGAGCCCGCATATACAGAGTACCGTTCTGTTATTCTATCAGCCTCAACAACCGGCCCCAGTTCGACTCTGGACTCAGAGCTACTCGTCAAACATGTTACTGCCCAGAGGGCATCCCGACAAGGCAGTCTGTTGTTTATAAACACTCGGCGATAGGAATGGTGCCGCAGAACGGAATACTCCTTCTGGCCTTCATACGCCCCAAGATCTCGGGCACAGGAAAAAGCATTCATACTGCACAAGTAAAAACCAAGTGTCTAGAGCTGTTCAAAAACAGGTTGGGATCAGCTAGCCTGTTCCATATTGCGAGCATACTAACCGTTTCTTTTCCCTCCTGAAGTCAGGCTCCCGTACCTTTGGGTACAAAACACAATGTTTATCCATAGTCAAAACGCCAACTAATGCGAGCGAGGCAAATCAAGACAGACTCTATCGAGACCACGGCCTTTGAAATGGATCATCCCCATTGGTACCTGAAACATGGAACGTTTTTTCCCCCATAGTGCATACTAGTAGAGCACCGAGAGCCCGAGACATCCAGGGGAATGCAGGTAAAGGATGCTCCCGTAGCCGTAGGGAAAGGGAAGGCAGTTGAATGGGCCTTACGGCTGCCGATCAACGTAAATGAACGGGAGAAGCCCTTAGTGGAAGACTCCCGGTGGGCTGATATCCATCCACCATTCTCAAGTCAAAGGGCGGGTATCCACCTAGTAGTCCGGGGTCTTTACTCTCTTGGATAGATGTACTACTATGAGAATGAAGAGTTTCCTTCCCCTTTCCTTTCTTGGGAAGAATCAGGGGCGGTGCTTGGGCAAATATGTTGTCAGCTTCAACTAAAACATGGTGTAATTAGGTCTTGAGCCTTGTCATATTAGAAAGGAAATATAAGTAAGTTGTAAGTTTCGAGCTGCCTGTGCGTCACCGTCTACGAATGAAGGTATACGTGGAAGTGGATAGGGGAAGGGGAAAACCGCTCAAGGGAACAGGAAAATGCATAGTTCCCCGCGAATTGATATGCCGAGAAGGGACTTCAGAGAAGATTCAAGGCCGCATTGGCAACTTGTTGCCATCGAGCTTACCTGCACATATATGCAAAGCCTTGCCAGGGGTAAAGGTCCAATTCGCACCAATAAAGGGTAAGAGTCTGAAACCTCAAACCTAGTTTCGTAAAAATGTCTTACGTCCATCGAATATGGCAACCCTGAAGAGGAAGCAGCAAAAATGCTTCATTTAAAGTTGGAATGCATCGCTTCTCGTGTTGACGCTTGCAGGTCAAACCAAGGTCGCCATTGGTTGATGGCTGGGATATCTCGACAGTCGGCAAATTTGCGCGTGTGCTTAAATACACATACTCTTCTCTACTCTCGGCTGGTCGGCTTCATCGTGCTCTTGTATCCCAACACTCTTTCATCTCTTTTGTTTCACCACAATCGTTTTATCATTCGTTCGCTCACAACAACATGTCGCGGTCTTTTCGCCGCGGCCTCCTGGCGGCGGCAGCCGTTTGGGCGGCATCGGCGGCAGCTGGCAGCGAATGGAATCAGGAGCACGACAATGACAACCAGTGGCTCGCCTCGACCGTCATTGTCACAAGCACCGTCATGGTTGACTTGAAGGACATCAACCAGAAGTGCCTCCGAGGAGAATTTGTCTGCGGTCCCACTCCGCCACCCACTGCCGACCCAGAGCACTGTCCCGAGTGTGAGAAGTGGCATTGGGACCCCAAGGACCCCAAGGACCCCAAGGGCCCCGAGGATCCCAAAGATCCTTGGGATTCTGTAGACGTATACCACGGGCTGTGGGGAGGTTGCTCTGGTGACCACCACTGCCCTAAGGCGTGCAGCTGTAGCTCCAAAGCCATCTGCGAACACTCTTCTGATGCCGATGGGCCCAAGTGCAAGAGTAGCACGGAATGCCCGCCCGGTCACATGTGCAATTCTTACGGCTACTGTCAGCCTCAACCTGGCCCACGATGTCACGAGAAGGCTTGTGTAGTCGATGATGGACCTGAGTGTACTACGAACAACGACTGCTCCCACGGTGAGGTTTGCAATCATCACGGTTTTTGTCAAAAGGTTGTTTTCCCCGACTGCGAGAAGAACTGGGACTGCAAGCACGGCCAAATCTGCACCAACAGAGGCATTTGCAAGACGATCGACGAACCACAGTGCACTTGTGATTCGGACTGCAAGGATGGACAAATTTGTAACTCACAAAGAGTCTGCCAAGACGTCGAGTGTCCCAAGTGCCAGTGGGAGAAGGAGTGCCACGAGGGCGAATCCTGCAAAGACAGCTTCTGCAAGCCCAAGGAAAACAAGTGCAAGGACAAAGACGACTGCAAAGACGACGAAATCTGCGACTGGGAAGGCAAGTGCCGCCGAGGCAAGCAATTCCGATGCCGAGTCGACTCGGAGTGCAAGTTTGGACAGATTTGTGATATTCATGGTAGTTGCCAGAAGCGCCCAGCTGGTCACATTTGCGGATCAGACCGCGAATGCAAGTCAGAAGATTTTTGCAATGCATTTGGATACTGCGAAAAGAAGCCCGAGGAGAGGTGCGAATCGGACAACACGTGTCTTCCTGGAGAGATTTGCTCGAGTGGCAGATGCCTTCCCAAGATTGGCTGCTCGAGGGACAGAGACTGTCGTCACGGAGAATCCTGTGAGAACAGCTTTTGTGTTTTCAGGAGGTTCTGTGCAGCTGATTCGGACTGCAACGGCCTCAACGAAGTTTGCAACGACCACAGGTGCGAAAGGGAGAGGGTTTGCACATATAATGTCGATTGTGACATTGGGCAAATTTGCGTGCCGAGGACTCAGCGCCTGACGGCGTTGGTCGCGAGAGCAAACGAGGCTGTACAGGTACAGGATGGTGTGTGCGTCAGGCCTGAATGTAATGTCAACGGAGATTGCACGAGGCGTGGGGAATTCTGCAGAGACCACCAGTGTGTCGAGGAAGAATGCACAGTCGACAGAGACTGTGACAATGGTACGCAGACCTGCAGAAATCACGAATGTTTGACAAGGTGTGAAAACCAGGCCGGTTGCAACAATAACGAGACTTGCGAAAATAGGGTGTGCATCAGGAAGAGGTTTTGCGTTAACGCCGCAAGAGATTGCGGCCTAGGCGAAATTTGCTTGGACAACTATTGCGAGCAGCCTCGTCAGGAAACATGCAACGTCAACAGAGACTGCACGAGGCCTGGTGAATTCTGCAGAGACCACCAGTGTGTTGAAGAAGAATGCAGAGTTGACAGAGACTGTGATGACCCTCTGCAAGCCTGCAGAGACCACGAATGCTTGACGAGGTGTGTAAACCAATTAGGTTGCAACACCAATGAAACTTGCGAAAATAGGGTGTGCGTCAGGAGGAGGTTTTGCACCAACGCCGCAAGAGACTGCGGGCTAGGTGAAGTTTGCTTGGACAACTATTGCCAGCAGCCTCTCCAGGAAGAATGCATAGTTGATGCAGACTGTAACGACATCACGAAAGCCTGCAGAGATAATCAATGCTTAACCAGGTGTGAAAACCAATTGGGTTGCAACAGGAATGAAACTTGCGACGGCACGGTGTGCATCAGGAAGAGGTTTTGCGTCAACAGCGCAACTGACTGCGAGTTGGGTGAAATTTGCTTAAACAACTATTGCGAGGCACCTTTCACGTGCGGCAACACCACATGCCAGGCCGACGAGAGATGCATAAACGACAGATGCGTGGGGAGGTGCGGCGGCATTTTCTGCTCAGGAGACGACATCTGCGTCAACGATAGGTGCCAAAGGAACCGCACGTGTGGTTTGACAGCTTGCGATGACGATGAAAAATGCGTCAACAACAGGTGTCTGAAGACGTGCGGTGCTGGTGTCTGTGACGATTCAGAGCTTTGCATTGGTCTAGAATGCCAGCCAAGATGTGGAAACACAGTTTGCCAGAACAATGAGGTCTGCCAGGGCAACACGTGCCAGCCAACGTGCGGCAACAGCGTCTGTCTGCCCACCGAGACTTGTGTAGCCAACCAGTGCAACGCGAACTGCGGACTTGTTGTTTGCGGACCTGATGAGACCTGCAACGACCTCCTGCAATGTGTTCTGAAGCCCCTGTGCGGCCTCGTTGTCTGCGAGAATGACGAACTTTGCGACGGCGGCATATGCAGGGAGAGGTGCGGCGATATCGTCTGCCAGGCCGATGAGCTTTGCAATAATACAAGATGTCGACAGAGATGCGGACTCATCACCTGTAGGGACGATGAGGTTTGCAACAACAACGACGTATGCGTCCAGACATGCGGGTTAGTCACCTGTCAAGCAAATGAGACTTGCTTGAACGATGCTTGTGTCCAAACGTGCGGTCTTGGCGTCTGTGACGACACAGAGACCTGTGTCCTCGGCCAGTGCCTCCCGACCTGCGGCTTAACAACTTGCAATGCCAACGAGACCTGTGTCCTCGGCCAGTGCCTCCCGACGTGTGGTCTAACAACTTGCAATGCCAATGAGACTTGTGTCCTTGGACAGTGCCTCCCGACATGTGGTTTGACAACTTGCAATATCGGCGAGACCTGTGTCCTCGGCCTGTGCCTCCCGACGTGTGGTCTAACAACTTGCAATGCCAATGAGACTTGTGTCCTCGGCCAGTGCCTCCCGACCTGCGGCTTAACAACTTGCAATGTTAACGAAACCTGTGTCCTCGGCCAGTGCCTCCCGACATGTGGTTTGACAACTTGCAATATCGGCGAGACTTGTCTGCTGGGCAGGTGTGTTAGGAGATGCGGAATCGACACTCCTTGTGATGACGGCGAAGTCTGCGTCAACGATGGCACGTGTGAGCCGAGTTGCGACGACTCCACCGATTGTTTAGGTGGCCTTGTTTGCTTAGGTACCACGACGAGATATTGCGGTCCTTGCGATAGTAACCTGCAGTGTACAGGCACAGACAGGTGCATCGCCGGACTATGCCAACAAGGATCGGTCTGCTCTCTGGGTTTCCAATGGGGGTATTACAAGCTCGCTCGATCACCCAGTGACCTCACGACACTCCCGGGGACGATTCCCTTCCATGACGACGACCCCCAGACCAACGAGAACTGGCCGCTTTTGCAATTCCGGCCACGAATTGCCCTTGCCGCCCAGGTACCCACGGTCACGGGTCTGACGCAGACTCTAGGTATTCCGACGTCTTGCCCCCCGGAGGACGCCATCGTCTATGGCATCGACACTGGATATAGCATTGATTACAGTATCATCCAGCACATCGGATACTTTGTTCCTGAGCAGGCAGGAACATACACTTTCAGTGCCAATGCCCCCGTTCCCGACCAGAGTCTGTACGTTTGGTTCGGCGACACTGCTCGGCTACTTTGGGTCAACGCCAACGCAGACCTAATCGCAGACGGAAGCTGGACCGTCGGATCCAACACCTACCTGAGGGTCGTTACTCCGGCAGATGTTGGCACATATATCCCCATCCGCATCCTGTTTGTCAACCCTCAGGGTTGCGGTGAGTTTGAGCTCACTGTCCAGGGACCTCTAGGAGATGTCCTTGTCTCGCGCGAGCAGCAGACTACGGATGGACAGTTCGTGAGCAACTGCCCCGCGGCGAACAACATTCTAACATTGGAGCTTGCTCCCATCCTCGACATCGGCATCGGTATTAACGGCCTTGATGCTAACCTCACTGGCGGATTAGATCTGGGCGGCCTTGGTGCTAACCTCACCGGCGGATTGGATCTGGGTGGCCTTACTAATCTCACTGGCGGCCTTGGTGCTAACCTCACCGGCGGATTGGATCTGGGTGGCCTTACCAATCTCACCGGCGGCCTTCTTACCAACCTCACCGGTGGACTGGGCCTTGGTGGCCTTGGTACCAATCTCACTGGCGATGTGAACCTTGGCGGCGGCGGCGGCGGCGGCGGTATCAACGTCACAGCAGGGGCGGATCTTGGTGGCCTTGGTAATCTCACCGGCGGAGTAAATGTTGGAGGCGGTGGCATTAACGTCACCGGAGGAACAAATCTTGGTGGCCTTGGTACCAATCTGACGGGCGGATTGCTTGGCGGCCTTACCAACCTCACTGGCGGCCTTCTTACCAACCTCACTGGCGGATTGAACCTTGGTGGAGGTGGCAGTTCCTGATTGTTCTTAGGGATACCGAGGCGTTGGCTTCATCAGATGTATTATTAGCTTAGGATTACGCGTTGGATATTTTCTCTGTTGTGGAATTGAAAGTTTGTAGTGAACCAACCTCTTCGGTGCAAAACCATGCTGTGCTATTTTTCGGACCCCGAGATCCCGTAAGTCGCCTATACGACGCGGTTCTGGCTATTGCAAATAAGGAATCGTCGAGATTGCGCAGTCGAAACTACCAACGTCACAGTTGGCGGCGCAAGTCCAATACCAAGGATGCGAGAGGAAATATCCTTGAAACCGTCGAGCTGTAACGGAGGCCATTCCAGAAAGTGCATGCCTCAGCGGTAGGGGAAACGTATCAATCTGGTTTCGAAGAGCATGAAGTCTGCAGATGGGCTGTTGTAGAGCACCGAGATGTGATTGGTTTACCGCTGTTGGCTTCCTTGTGTATCGACTTTGACCTCCCCACATGCCTGAGATTACCGGACGGCCTCTGCTTGAAATACATCGTCATACACCATCGTCGAATCGACAGTGGTGGCCAGGGCAATAGGCCATGTTGATATTTTTTGATGTCAGTTTCTTGCTGCTGATATATGTGGAGTTGAGGCGTAGGTATGGTATAGAGGTAGTTTTATTGCGGTGATATATCGAGGTGCTAAGTAGTTAGGAGAAGGCGCGTTGTGGCACGCGGAAAGCAACGCCAGCTGCCAGCAGCTCTTTCCTAAAACGGATAGCCGCATGGCTTCAATTCGAATTCGAATTTGTGTATGACGTCATATGCACTTATTAGAGGATTCCAATCTTCCGATTTACCACATCCAAAAGTGTATCTATACTTCTCTTTCAATTCAGAGGCTCTATAAATGCTGTTTCTATTTTCCAATATTGAAAACATAGGTAAACATCACTCAGGCATGATGTATGAAGACGTCACCCCAGCATCAACCGTAATCGTCGTCCCTGTGATCCATCTCGCCTCATCACTCGCCAGAAACCTCACTGCCGCTGCGCAGTCCCACGCATTGCCCTCTGTATTTAACATGCCTTGGTTACGGCGCATTTCACGTACTTCTTCCGTCATGCCATTGCCTGCAACCATGGGCGTATAGAGGAATCCTGTGAACCGTCTCAATACTAGGACAAACGATGGCCGTCGAGCAACGAGGGGAATCACTTACCTGGACACACGCAGTTGACCCGTATCCCTTGTCGTCCGTGATTATACGCCATGCTCCGTGTCATGTTGACCACCGCACCCTTGCTCGTTGGATAGAACAGATGCGGCGTCCCTCCTTGCAGGCCTGCTATAGACCCCAAGTTGACAACGTTGCCCCTGATACCTCCATCCCCAGGCTCATTTTTGATCATCAGCGGAATCGCATATTTGGCCATGAGCACCATGCCCGTCACATTGATGCTCAATCCCATGGCCCACTCCTCAGCACTCGCCTCCACAGCCGTTCCCGTTGCGCCCATGATGCCCACATTGTTGATCAGAATATCCAGTCTCCCAAACAAGCCTTCCGCCGTCTTGACCAGCTTCTCGCAATCCCCCTCTGTGCTCACGTCCGCGCATAGTGAAGCCGCGCTGCCTCCCTCCTGGACAATCATCTCGACCGTGCGCTTTGCCGCAGCCAAGTCCCGGTCCGCGCAGAGCACCGTGGCGCCGTCGCCGGCGAGGAGCAGGGATATGGCACGTCCGTTGCCGAGGCCGTCTCCGAGGCTCCCTGCGCCGGTGACAATGGCGACTTTTCCGTCGAGACGGCGTGACGGCCGCGGGGGCAGCGTGGGAAACGGAGGCATATCGACAAGAGGGGAGCTTGTGAAATTGCCCCAGCTCTTCACCAGCTAGATGGCTTTTAAGATGGCAAGCCAGATGCTGTGACGATATGGAATTGCGCAATGCCGGTATCGCTATTAGTTTATCAAAAGGAAATTACAAAGCGCTCACTTATAATACTTTTACATACCACTTTGCAAACATCAACACTCACAACCCCTCACCAAAATGGAGCCAGCTACCCAAGAACTGGGGTAGGCCATGCAGCTGCAGCTGCAGCGTTGCATCTGCGGGTTGACCAGCCCCCGTAAGGAAGCATTCCAAGCTTTGTTTCCAGTACCCAATGCGAGAATGATAAATACGGTAAATTGTGCAACTGGGTTTGTGTTGCACTTACACCGAGTTTAGAGCATATAACGCAAACTTCTTGTCCAAGTCGATTTGCAGTCTGTAATAATGCCCTGCAGCCATGCGGACGAGTCCATCATCGCGGACTCAAACCATATCGCATCACTGCATCAAAAGGTCCTTATCAAGCCTTCAACGTACAAACCCAAACCCCCACCCAAATGCCTAACGCCGCAGCTTTCACCACCATAATGACTCCAGTATACCGAGGCCTTCAAACCCAATACTTGGTACGTACCCGCCTACCTCGGTACCTGCCTCTTGTAACTGCCACAACTCTCAACACCAAAGTCTGCAAACTCCGTATGTATACATTTACCACGACGCCTTTCAACAACAATCATCAGAAATAGGCACTTTGGCCGAGCGGTCTAAGGCGCCGTGTTCAGGTTTAACTTGCTTCGCGGTCTAGTAATAGGCGAGGGTTCGAATCCCTCAGGTGTCATCTTTTTGTAGAGCGTGCCTCCAATGCGGAGTGCGGTTAATAACTTCTTTTTTGGTCAACTGTGAGAATTAGGATAAAAGACACTGTTCGTGAATAGTATGTATTTGAATGCATTGTGTCATCACAGCAGTCTGTTTGGGCATGGGAGCCAATTCTATCAATGCCAGACAAATAACCAGCCGCTCATGTTATGAAGCCCGTCCGCTCAATATGAAATAAAAAATAACAACCAACGGTTGGACCCTCCCAAAACGCCAAAAAAAATCTGCAAATCGAATGTATATACAGCATGTACAGTGGGTGTATGTTGCGATGCGCTTATAACTCGTCTCTATCCAAGCTCGGGAGCCTGAATGCATAGCGTCTGGGGCGCGGAGGCAAACCGATCCAAGCACGGTATACCCTCAATGTTTCATCCGAGACAATTTCCCAGCTGAGAATTCAATTAGTCGAGTTCGGACAAGTAGTTGTAGCGTGAAGAAAAAAGGGACACTTACATCATTCTAGGTGTTCGAATCCAGCTCTTGAGCACAATCTTGACTGCCTTCATGACACGGGCAAACTCGTTTCCAACCTGCTCGCCCACCGTATCGCCGTGGGTTCCGCGATTACGCATTTTGATAAACTCATTCATGTCTTCGTCAACCTCGTCCACGAGCGTCCAGACATCTTCGGGGCTCTTGAATGTCTGGGACTCTGCCTTGTCGCGCATGTCGATCATGGCTCGGAACTTGCCAACAGCGGAAATCGATGAGCTGAGTCTGGCGTATGTGTTGAAGAGGGCCACCACCTCAGTTCTCTTGAGGGACGGGGGCTTCTGGCCTTCGTTGAATTCGAAGAGCACCTTCAAAGCCGTTCCGTAGCCGTTTGTCTGGATCTTGCCCCAGAGGCGGCACTTGTCGCAGCCAACACAATCCATGACTCGGCTGATGTTGCGGAAGCGATTGCGGAAATCTTCCTTGAGAGAAGGGCCTTCGCCATTAACAAACATGACACTCTCATCAAAGATTTGGGGGACACTGGCTGCGTGCTGAGCCACAGCAGAGATCTTGTCTCGAGTGTCCTGATCCTGTAGTGGGTCCCCGGCACAGAAGGTGTACTGCGGCCCAAGAACATAGGGGGCGAGCTTCGCAACGGCGCGGGTTACGAGGGCGTAGTTAAAGTACAGATTGCTGATACGATCGGGGAATCCGTGCAGTCGGCTTTCGTAGCAAGCCAAGTTGGGCTGCCACTCTCCAGTGCTCTGGTTCAAAAAGTCCCAGCACAAGTGTACGCTGATACTGGCGTGCATTCCCGAGACTACTCGGTAGAAGACTCGCTTCTCCAGGCACTCATCCTCGCCTTCGTAACCAGTGTTTGCAACGAACGGAATGTTTGGGTTGCTCTGCCGCTGCTGCTCAAGCTGGGCCTGGCGGCCGGCCGTATCCAAGACCTGCTTGAAATCCAAGGCAGCAGGGTCGGTTGGCCGATGGGAAACGCCAAGATCGGCGGATTTGGGAAAAGAGCTCTTCTTAAAGCAGTTTTCCAAATAGATGGCGTCCCAGACCTGCTTTGAACTTTGACCACCATATCCAGTAAACCGCTCCGGGTTCCGCAACAAGCTGACATAGTCTCCCTTGGAGGTTGCGCCTTCGTCGTCCATGACGCAGTAATCCCTGTCGTCGCACTCGTCGTCGTATTCAACCACACAGCTTTCCCCCACGTCTTCTCCCAACTCTCCTTGCAGCGGTCGATCCGGGTGTTGCCTCTGCATTTTCTTGCCCGGATGCTTCGCTCTAGGACCCTCCAGCTTGCTAAGCTCGTGAGCCCTCCAAATTTCAGGTATGTCCTCTTCATTTTCCAATGTCTCGACGGCGCACGCGATGTTACCGCACATGCCATCTTCGTCATTCCAGAATGGACATGTTTTGTGGAAGAGATTCATGCGGTAATGCGAGAAGAAATCGGTCGTGCGAACAAGGTCGTCGACCGCCGGCTTTACTTTTACGTTGAGTCTATCGAGCGTAGCATACGAGACGCATCCATCGTCGATGATGGCGTTCGGAGAGAACTGGAAGAGGCAACAACTGTCAGCGCAAGGCGATCTTGGCAGGGGAGGCGATCTTGGGTCGTCATACCGAACAAGAGTCTGTAGAACTCGAACACGCCCCCGGTGCCGCCCAGAGGGCAAACACTGAGAGGAAAAACAGGTTGCTGGCGGATTTCATTTTGTAAGCAGCAGAAGAAACTCCTTGTGCGACAAAAGTCTATGGGTTGCTATTTGGCCAGAACGATTGGCATCGCTTCACGGAGCGAGGGTCCGAAACGGCTGCCGGATAAAAGAGGCGATCCTCCGGGATACTGCGACTTTGACGGCTGATGCGATATAGTTCGATGAAGTGTCCCAATAAATGCGACCCAAGTAACGAGGCAGCAAAAGTGAAAGATGGATTGAGAGAGGCTGCCGGTCCAATGGGTAAAGAAGGTTGACTGAAGCCTATTGACAAGCCACAGCAAGTAAATGCAACTAACTTGTGGCTACAACTGCAACGGTTCCAAGGCTCGCAGCAGGGGGGATATGCAAAATCTTTTATAGATGAAAGAAAAAGAAAAGAAGGCAACCTTGAGAAGAACAAGCACAAGCAGCTGCACCGGAGACTTTACCGTCTTCTTGCTGACATATCATGAGATGTTCCTCAAAGGGGAAAGATGCCACGCTGGCGATCCGGATGCTTAGAAACGGCGGTTTGCGTTGGTAAAAAAAAAAAAAAAAAAAAAAAAGGCCTCTTTACGGTGCACGGTGTACCAGGTACCACCAGCCTACCGTAGTTTAGTGGTGGTGCGGGGGAAGTCAAAAAAGAGAGAAACAGAGAGCGAGAAGAGAGACAGGGGCGATTCGGTCACTGGAAGGCCGGCCAATGGTGGCGGCTTGAGCAGAATGGCAGTTTGACGCCACCGACGCGAGACAAGTCGAGGGGCCCTTGAAATGTGTCCAGAAGGCGACGATGAAGCCAAAAGTCAGGGCATGTATGCCGATAATTGGCCTGCGACGACGCTATTAATAAATTCAAGACCAAGCATTGAAGCCTGCAGATTGCATCGCCTACTCCTTCCTACATGTTACGAGGTGTCTGGGCTGGTATAAGAGAGGCTGCGCGCCGCTGGTGAGGCCATCCATCATCATAGAATCAGGCCACCCGACCAGCCGAGATTCGGTTGAGACGCCTTCCACTTTGAGCACCTACGAGTACACATCAATTATCACCTACCTGACTGGTGATACGGCGCATTACTGCTTACCACCACTATAACTGCATATTCTCGTGTAAACAGACGCCATCTGCCGCTACCGCACCGTAAGTACTAGGTACTACCTAGGTAGTAGGTTAGAGGTAAGTTGATTAGATGACTCCATGAGCAAACCTTCTCATCTCTGCATGCCTGTCTACCAGCATTTACACGTGTTTTCATGGCGTGACATGGCATGGTAAAGCTTCATCCATGATGAGGTTCAGACCATCGTTGCCAAAGTAGACACGTAGTCAAAATGAAAGCGAGCAAAGGGTGTTTGCAGGATCCGCGCTGCTTGGTTGCTGAGCTCTCGCTGAACAGTTCAGTCATGATCATCAACAACGACGCATATTCATTGATAGGTAGGATATATCTAACATTACCACTCTGGCATGCGCATCTCTCTTTCAAGAGACAGACCGCCAAGCAAGGCAATCGTTTCCCACCGCGTTTCCCCAGAATCAGCCGCAGTCAGACCAAAATGCTACCAGTATATATGAGTTCCTAGACCAGTCTTCAATTCTGCGCCAACTACCTCTACACAAGGCTAACCAATCGCTAATGCGTCCTTCCTGCAGCACCAGTCATCCTCCAAAGTGTCAACCCATCTGGCCACCAGCTTACATTCGACTCCAGATACCTTCAAGTGATTGCAGAGTTCTTGCCACAAGATGTGGAAATCATCGAGACACGCGCGCGCCAAATCACAGGGTTAATGCTCACAATTTTGACATACGCATCCACATGTCGCTTGTCCAAACTCTGAACCAAGGCTTGCGTGGGGGCTCTCGGGTTGCCGTACACAAACCATTCAAGGCAGAACGAGGGCATGTGCGTCAGAGTCGCCAGGGAGCGCCCACCTGCCTCGTAGGCTTATTAACCCAACATTATTGCAGTATGCAGACCGTAAAAATCGTAATGGGACGTTGAACAAAGAGACTCTTTCATGTAGCAGGAGTCGGCGCGGAAAAGCCGTAGCTATCGTACACAACTGAGCAAAGGAGATGTTCGTTCGACGAGCTCACTGAGGAGGTTGGTAGTTGAGGGGTCGTCTTTCCACCGGTTAGACAATGCTGCGGCTCCCGAGTGGCCTGCGCACGATTAAACAATGGTAAACTCACTTGAAAAGAAGAATATGCGGCTCCGGCTCATGGACCTCGTAGTGCTCCCAGCCGAGACTCTATATGCGGAGAAGAAACTGGTGTCAGCGCGTCGCATTCTTCTTTGCTCCCTTACCCCTTCGCCCGCGGGGAATCCAGGATGAAGAGAGAAAAAAAGCTGCCCCTCACCTGTGTCATTCCCATGGCCCTCCACTCGTCCTCCCAGAGAAGCTTCAGTGTGCCCTTGGCAGAATCGTGGTACTCCTTTGGAATCGCCTTGAGCATCATCTTTGGTAGCTGGACATGGCGGTACTCGAATTCGCTGTCGTTATATCTGTTGACAATTTGACGCCTTAGCTTCCGGTGGCATATATTCGCAAATGCGCCCTTTGATGTCCATTTTCCTCCTCTCCCACAGCTGAAGTCGATAACCACCACTTCCACCACTAGGACTCACCTCTCAGAGTACCGAATAGCATCCACAAACTCTTCAAGTCGGGCTCGTTCCGAGTCTGTTAGGGGACGCGGAGTCTTGTTTCGCCGGCTCATGTCGATATCCATTTTGATAGGTAGTTTTTAGAGTTTTTTCTCTGGCTTCTCTAGCATAAACCGTCCACCGCGAAGCGCGACCTTGTTTGTTGACAGGTCGTAAAAGTTAAGCGGGCTCCTTTCGAAGAGAGACCACCCAAGGTTTGTCCAATTGTCGATTAATTCGTCTCGAGATGATGAAATAAATCGGCTTCGGTCTCGTTTTGCGGTCGAAGTCGAGGGGAACGATGTACAGCGTATCGATCAGAGCGGGCAAGAATCCTTAGCAGATCGAAAGAACGGCGGAGTCGCGTGGCGCGTGAGTCACGAGCGGCAGGCTGCAAAGGAAGGCGCAACAAGGATGAATGGGCAAGACTGAATCACGGCCGAACAGATGGAGAATGCGCACGAGACTTGGGCTGGTGGGTTGCGGGAGGAAGAACGGGGGATGAAATAAACAAAATCTAGCGCTTGCGATGGTTCTCGAATCGTGGAAGCCCAAAAAACCGACCCCTGTTGCCCTGGTCCGTGGCCCGCTAATCTTGGGGTGCCCGCGGCTCCGTTGGCGGTCCTCGTACAGGGGTGTTGGCATATCTGACCGCTGTGGTTGCTTCTACATTATCATTGCTCTCCTTTTTGACAAGATGCTGCGATGCGTGTTGAGATTAGCTGATACGCTTTGTGCTACTAAGAAGATGTATGCTAATTCATCGCTGCATTAGCGGCAGTTGAAGATGGACTGTCTTCAAGTTCTCACAATGTTGTACAGCAAGTACTTGCACCCCCAAGCTCCATTAGCGCCCAAGCGTCAACGTGGTACCGAGGCCATCCGGATTGACTGCTAACAACTGCTGTATAATGAGATTTCCAATACGCTCAACATTTGATGCTCATGATTCTTCCTACTGGTCTATCAGAGAATGCTTTTCTTCAAGCGCAAGATGCGTAAATTGTTCAAAGACCATTCTATATACTCCGAGTGACCCCAACGCCGAGTGATTTCAATACCAACTTTGTCATGTTCGACATCTGTCTATGTCAACAAGCTTACCAACGAAACAGGCTCTTGAGGACTTTAGAGTCCAAAGAACGATTTTGATAGGCCCTTTGAAGCAGTTGAAGCCGCTCCCGTAGACAGCGGCAGGTGGCTTACGACATTGCCTATCTTTACCTTGACCCCAGGCACCGAAACCTTCCACGACTTGATGGACTGGAAATCTTCGTCTCCAAACGCGTCTAGAGCTTTATTGGAATCTTCATCCACGGGGAGATCGAGTGCCCATCCAATGGATATGTGGAATGCTTCATCCGCAGAGTCCGTCTCCTTGGTCTGGTACAGAATGGGCTGGTTGAACGACTGGACCATGTCATTGCAAGCACTCAACAGCCGCATAAGCTCTGGATTGGACAGAGCTCCAGTGCTATCCGAAGTTTGCGAGCTCGCTACTTGGAGAATAAGAAACGTGCGATTGGAATCTGGAGACTGATACCACCTTAATCTTTTGGGGCTAACGGAGAACCGGGGCACGGCGCTGGCGTGCAGGGCTGATGAGATCTTGTCGAGGAACACGTCCTTGTTAGAGGTGCTGAGGGAAATGGGCCTTGACAGGCTGATGTGGAGAGGCAAAGGCGCCCCCAAGTCACTCGTCAGAAAGCTGTGCAGCTTGGCTCGATTGCCAACGTGCTCATTGACCTTGCATACCAATTGAACCAGCTTCTCATGCTGGTCAGCCAGTGGATGCCCTACACGCGCAGAGAGAGTTAGCTGTTCTGGTCGCGTGTATACGAGCTCAGCCTGGGCTTCATCGATTGAAACTCACACTCAATGTACAGATGGCTGGGCCAGTTGCCCACGACGTGAGGAATCAGTCTCTTGCGGCCCTGATGCAGCGCGGGATCATCGACGACGCTGTGGCGGACGGTGGACGCATACAGGTCGTGGAATGCCGAGGGCAAGGGTGGCAGCCCAGATTCGGAGCTGGACGGAGCGCTCGGGGCGTTGGGCTGTGGCCCGGAGCCCGGCGAGTGCTTACGCCGCTTGGCCGGCGGTGCCGATGGCGCTTCATCGTTTTCACTGTCGGAATGCGATGACGATGATGAGTAGTCGACAAGAGCCATCGGTCAAAGGCGCTGATGGTTAAAAAAAAAAAGTTGGTGATGCCGTCACCGAAAAATATCCAAGTTGATGTATGTACCTATTTCTGCCTGGCAGGCACATGTACAGGTACAGGTAAGCAGCGAGTGTTGTTGCGTGTATTTGGTGCTTCTGAAAGTCGTGGAAAGCAGTACGGAGTACCTGTACCGGACTCTTCCAGAATCACCCCTTGCATGTTGTGTTGTGCCCTTACTAAGCCGCGCTGCATGTGCTCTCGGTATCACCTTATCTTACTTTATCCAGCGTATCGGTACCAATCAATGCTTTTCTGCTGGGTCCTTAGGACCCTTAAGCAGCCGAAAATAGCGACTGTGAGGCTGACCCTGACGCAGATGAAACGCAATCGTATCCAAGCCTCGTGTTGAAAGGAATTAGGAAATCAATTAATATGTCATTTCTGTGTAAGGCGGTCTATCGAATGCCCAGGACCGGGATGAAAAGCTGAACGAAGCTGCGGAGCGCTAACAATTGCGCCTGGGCGCTGACAAGAGACGTGGCGCAAGCATGGCCCCCTGTGGAAGTATGTGATCAGCCCCCGAAGTCCACATCGTTTTTTTTTTTCCATTTGATGTCTTTCTTTCGCTGCTGCGTGTCTATAAGCAGAGTTTAATCGCCCTATTTTCTACACCAGATTAAGTGGGAATGGGGGTCCTCTTTGAGGGTCCCCTGGCTTCTAGCCCGGTATGTTGGAAAAGTAAGTGCTTTTTATGGTTTAGAAGAAGGAAGAAGGAAAAGAAACTCGAGATAAGGAAGTCGGACAGTGCGAGACCATGTTTTTTGGTTGTTTGGGTACCGGTGCCGTATTGAGACAACGAACCGACAAGGGATATGAAAGCAGTAAAGGCCGAGCGCACATCCAGTCAGACCTAGCAGTTGCTCATCAGCGAGCTTTGGGTATTATATTTAGCATACATGCAGAGCTGTGTGATAATTATAACACTTTTTCTCCAATGGCTCTCCTGTGAGGCTCATGTACCTTATTTGTCTAATCTGATGCAGGATCAGAACGGGTAGATCTATTACCGGTCAGGCGCCGGCGAGTTAGTTCTCGTAGCGTCTCTCGACAGTGTACGGTATTGCAACACTCGTGTCCCGCCCAGCCAACAAGCCAAGCCAGCTTCCCGCGAATGGAGGCGTCTAGCTCGCCAGCGTCTCCGAATCAAGCCAGTTACACCATTATGATCCGGCATTGTGCGCTGTAACTGACTGTAGCGATTCCACATGACAGCTCAGCGGCCGAGACAAGAGGGCCAAGAAAGAATGGCCAGATGCTCCGTCAGCCTCAGCCAGCCCAAGATCCAAAGGGTCCAGACTGAAGCAGGGCTAGTCTCGTGATGGCGCCTGTCTGCAAAATCCGGACACGAGGGACTCATCCAGTAAAGTACTAGGTTAGTAGCACCAGTAGTCAAATAGTGTGCGAGAATGGGTGACGACTACTGCAGGTCGGTCACCCTCGAGTCCCTCGACTTACATGGCCGCAGCTCAAGGACCTCGCCACTTTTTCCCGACTGGGGCCGCCCGTACATACATACTCCGTACCTCGAATAGGTATTGCACAGTGACTTTGGGGGGGCTTGGTTGGCTACATGCCCAATAATCCCGATGACAAACTATGTTTATGTTGGTGAGCCAAAAAGCTTCTTGGCCTCGTGGTGGGAACGGGATCCAGGTTTAAAGTCTCCCGCTTCCCCTCTCCTCTCTGTCCCTCGTGTAATCCCGGACAAACCGTGTTTCTTTGGCACATACATTTTGCAGTGTCGCTGCATTTTGTAGCTACAGAGATTTATTTCTTGGTGTTGCCGCATCCTTCGCCGTCGGGACTCGTCGCGATTGAATTGGATACAGAGGCACCTAGTACTTGTTCAAACGGGCTTTTCTTGACTTTTCTCGAGAACCACCTTCAAAAACCCAAACCGACTTGACTTTAGCGAGAGGATATTTTATACATGGACATAAACTATAAGGCCCCATCACCTCTAGCAACCGGGATTTACCTTTGAGAGAGCATTCGTCCTCCATAGTTTGGCTCCGACTTAAATACCGGCCTACGCCCTCCGGTTTTTCAATCCAATCCTTCTCGTTGCCCTCTTCGATACTCGCTTCTCAACCGTTCAAACACTTGCTTGCTCTATACGAGTCCAACTTCTATCTTCTGCGCCTCTTCTCTCTCTCTCTCTCTCTCTCTCTCTCTCTCTCTCTCTCTCTTCACAAAGTGCAGATTCCAAAGATCAGCATCATCGCCTTCCGAACATCCGCATTGAGCAGAGACCTTGAAACACCTGCAGAGTCACCAGCTGCGATATTTTATACTACAAAGTATTCAGCACAACACAAATCCGCCAAAATGTACGACAGCGACGGCATAGATAAAGACTGGGTAAGTATGCGCTTCGGTTGCAATCTCTCTATTCAATTCATCCCCCTCTATTGTACACATCCATCATGGTCATCACCATCTTCTCCGTCTTCTTCTTCTTCTTCATCCGCGCTCCCGGTGGGTTTTCGTCGTCACCTGCAGGCGACCCCATGCCGATCGCAAGGGTGCTGGAGCGAACCCTGAAAATGCAGGGATTCAGGATTCCCACATGGCCACCACATGTTGCGCTGCGTTGCGTCTCCTTGCGTCACCAATTCGGCTTCAGCGGATCGGTGGGAAGAGCTCAAGTGGGCCGGCAGATCGCACGATGCGCCGTTTGGATTTTCCTGCTGCGATGCCGAGTTTGGTTTGATTGCGACCGTCCGCTTCAATGGTGTCATTGGCTCTTGTTCTTGGCCAAACCTGTCTGGTTCCGTACATCATCAGGCCAAGCCGTTCTGCGTTTATCGTTTATTCCCTTGTACCACCGTCTCGGACCAACTTCGTCAGCCATTTCGTCATTCCCCACTTTCCACCTCGTTCATATTCATATATACTTTCTTCATGTCCTCTTCTTATCTTTCATTTCTGCTTCTCTTCCATTACATGAACACTTTTTGAATTCATTCAACTCGAAATTGAACCCAACTAACACCGCTCGAATCTAGGCTCGCAAGTACATCTTGGACCCTCTCACTGCTCCTGAACCCAGCGAAGAGACTGGCCTTGGATCTTCTCACTACAACCCGCACCGCATCTCTCTGCAGGCTCTACCGTCTCACACCCGCCAGCGACCGGCAAGCCCAGCTTCAAGCTCAAGCTCAAGCCTAGATCTTCCCGGTAGATTCGCAGCCTCATATCCTACACCTCCTTGTACAGGCAACCCCGAGCACAAATTCAGCCAAAGAAAACGGCTGCCGCCTCCACCCTCTGCGAATCCCACGGCTCAATACAGCGTCAGCAGCCATTGCCGTCTAATGATGCGGACTCCCAACGCTGCCAGCCCGGAAGGTCATTACCATCCGACAAATCCGTTTGCTTCTGGACAGCAGTCCGGGAAGCATGCCTCTATGAACCCGCATGGCCGCAGCAACTCGGAATTGGCCAACTATGGCCAGCCCGGAGCTCACAAACAGGCCCACCGCCGTCATCGCACTCAGTCTCTTGGCGAGCGCTTCCCCGGAGACATGTCGCATCGTCCCTTGGATATTATTATCAACGACACCCGCGCTGCTGACCGGCAACGCCGTCACCGGCCTCGCGTTTCTGAAACCGACATCATTGATGCTCTCGATACAATCGGCGGCATGTATCACCACGGCGGGCCATACGATGCCACCCTCCGGAGCCGAAACCTTGACCCCAGAACCTCGCCGGTTGCTGCGGTGCAGGAGTCCAACATGGCGGCCTTGCGGGCTACACCTCGGGAATACGTCATGGACAGCCTCCGGCATCACGTTCCCCTCCAGGGTACTTCAACCATCCCCTCAGGAGATTATGACTATCGCGGGTCTCGGATGAGCTATGAAGAAGGCGCTGATCTCATGAGGGAACCGGATGCTCCTGGTGGTCCCTACAAGCGCTGGGCTGACACTGTAACGTCACCTTCACCAACACCCTCCTCTTCCTCCACGTCGATCCGCGGACATCTTCGGAGATGCTTACTCAATTACAGAAATATCATCCGGACGACCTCAAAGGAAAAGGAGAGCCCTCTTACTCCCTTGAGCGAGCGCTAAAGGAGAAGAAGCGTGCCAAGGACGGAGAGCCCGATGAGATTGAGATGCAGACCGGCTTACGCCATCACAATCATCATTCTAAATCCAGGCATCAGCGCAGCATGACTGTTGCGCTGCGTGGGAGCTCTTCGGCCACTGGCAATGCCTACAACAACTCCGAACTTGAGCGTCGAAACTCGACTGGCAAGAAACTGAGTGACAGTCTGAAACGGCGATGGGGCAGCATTCGCGGTAGGAAGTGATGCTGTTCTGTACAACAAAAACTTGCGGACTGGATCTGAGTATATGATCCATTATCTTTCCTATTGTTTTATTTTTCCTTTGTGTGGTGGATGAATTTCTCTCTTCATCAATTTGTTTTGGTGTTCCGGCTCTGGGACGGCGTCTTTTTATGAACGGACTTCTTCTTGATCGATGGCTTCAATCTCTCAATGGTTGGCCTTCCTTCTCGTGGGCGTTCTGTTTCATGGTTTGCTTTATTTCTTAGGAATGGGCCATATGTGCAAATGATGGGATATGATGGGAATTAGACCAAGGTGGCAATCTTCTGCTACGATTTTTATATCTCCTACGGCAAGACAGCAAGGAGATGGCGTCGCAGGTTTTTCTTTTTTTTTGGTGGGACGGGCTATAGAACTGGATGGACAAATATGATGGGATTCTGTTTGTGTGATATCGGCAGATTGTGCAAATATCCGGAATGGATTCCCTCACTTGTGGCAGTTACTGCGGGATCCCCTTCTATGTCTTCTTTTTAGATTGGTCGCTAAAATTGATTGTTATTGTACGATGCTGTTACTACGCACTGAATAAGTTGAGCTTGTGACACTATATTCCCCATGTGAAGCATTGTGACATGCATGCTAGCTACTGTACCTGTCCTACTATACTATATTCATCGAGCCAGAATCCCTCTACGCCCGTCTAACCTCTTCACGCATCAACCATGTAGATATACATAACGAAATTATTCCTCTTAAATATACGCAAGTCCACTCCATCCCAACACTGCTTCTAGATCCTCCCTCATCTCCATGATGCCGTCATATCCACCCCTGGTGGCAACCTCGGCTCTCTTGGCGGCGCCGAGCTCATTCCACCGAGCCAAGATGGCGCCGTCTACGATTGCGCGGCCAGACGCGGCAGTTTCGACACCGACTATGCGAGACATGCCGCCTCCGCCTTCGGGCGTGCGGTGTGCTCTGGCGTGGAGGCCGCCGTGGGGCACGAGGGCTGGTAGGAGCTGGTTTGTGACGGATAGGAGCCGCCGGTAGGCGGATTCGGGGAGGGGCGTTAGAGAAGCCAGGGAGCCTGAGGGAGATGCGAGGAGGAGCAGGTGCGGTTGCGAAGACGACGAGTCTGGCGATGTAGTTGAGGAATGAGATGCGGGGAGGGTGCGTGGTAAGAGGAGTGTGGAGGTTGGAGGGTTAGGGGTCACGCTGAATGTAGTTCGGTGAAGTAACAGGTGGCCCTGGAGAGATTTGGGATCTAAAAGAAAGAAATGTTAGTCTTGTCAAATCCAACGATATTCATCCGCGATATGGACAGGGGCAAAAAAGACTTACGCTCTGGATTGAACTCGAGAACATGGATATCCCCATCCGCATCCACAGCAACCATTGACAAATCTTCTCCGTCTGGGAGAAAGTCTGCCACCAGCAGGGGCAGCGACCCGCTACTCTTGCCGAGCACCTTGAACGTGTATGGCTCCTCCGTATAGCCGGCGAACCACAGACCCTTGAAGGCGTCCGCAATCAGGCAGAGCCCGGTGCCTGGCAATTCCCGCGCCGTGGATACGTGGCAGCTCATATCTAGAAAGGCCACGGGAAGCAGCGAGCCATCCTCCTTCAGACCGCGCACCATACACTTCTGGCCTTGCGCCACCAGCATAAGTCCCTGAGTGCCAATCTCGGACAAGGCCGTCACGCCGCCACGGGGAATCTCCTCTTTGGCTAGAAGCTTAAGTCTCTTGTTCGTTTCTGGCTTCCCGGGCTCTGGGATGACGGTAACGATGTCGTACACTTGCACGCGGCCTCTAGTGGGCAGATCTTCGCCTCTCGTCAAGGCAGTGCCTACTGCTAGCAGCATTCTCCGCTCTTTGGTCTCTTCAGACACTTCGAGATGCAGCGTCTTCATACATTCAATCGACTCTCCAGGCTCCATGTCAATCGAGTGAATAACGGTCCATGTGATGGGGTTGATTAGTTTAAGAGCCCCCCTGGCCATCGAAGGCAAGAAAGAGAGCGACTCCCGGGCCCACTCCTTATGATAGTCATCATCCTTCGGCAACTCAAAATTCTCGGTGATGGTGCAGCCCGCGATGTACATCTCGGTGGGGTGGTGGTACGCAACATGGCGAACGTCGTGGCCCAATGGAACCTTCTTAACCGAGACACCCAGTTCTGTAAAGTTGGTGTTGCTCGGGAGCTGCGTCACTCTAGCCACGCCTTCAGAGTCTGCGTAAATGAACCCCCTATCGCAACCTTCAGTGTGGAAAGTGCTCATGCCCCGAACCCCAAGGCCTTGCAGACTAACCACTCTAGGGATACTTTTGCTGTTCTTGATGATGAAGGCCGGTGATGGGCCAGGGAGGAAGACGGCGCTATAGCCACCCACATTCGCGCAGGTTCTCAGAGGCACGTAGCGCGGCGGTTGCGCCGTGTCATCCGATGGGTCTTCGACGGCACTCTTGGCCAAACTAGAATTTGCCGATTTTTTAAAAAAGAGCGTGTCTGATAAGGTGTGAGCGGCTGAAGTGGTAGGTAGGCGAATTGGCTCATATATGGTAAGATCATCAGTGGAATGCCGTAACTAGAGAGTCTTGTTGTTAGCAGATTATCGACGGAAGATTGGGGAATCATGAATCGTACTATCAAGTAAGGTGAGGAGTGGACCGAGTCTCCAAGATCTGCCACGACAATCTCTGTGAGACTTTCTCGGGTGGCTCCTCTTCTGGCCACAAATCCAGCTGAAAGATGGGGAGGTATTGATGAAAGTCCCTCGGCCACATAAGCAGCCTTTGAAAGATCCGGTAGTGCGTATATCTGTCATGGTTAGCCCGCTGAAATGCGAATCACGGCTTTGTTAGACGGGATAACTCACATGCAAGGCCCCTGTTGAATTGAGCAAGAACATCATGACTTCCTCGTTTGGCTTCCTGGTTGCGCCGTCGAGACCTGACTGAAAGACGCCCTTGGTGTCTTTATATAGACATCCAGCTACCCATTTTGTTGATATAAGGCCACTGTCTGTCTTTTCCACCTCTTCAATCTCATTGTTGCCATCAATTTGTGCGAGGAACGCGCTGCCGTCGTCGCGGATAATGAGCAAATACGGGTCGACGATACTTGCACTGACAGCCCGCGGCTCGGCACCTGTCTCTTCGTCCAGCATGGGCAAAATCTGGATCAACCCCAGATCTAGAAAGACACTTAGTATTCGCATGGTCATAACCGGTAACAAGAAACTTACCTCCGTTGTAACACCGCACCTCCGACTTCAGCACTTGAATAACTACCATCTGCTTTCCCATTGTGCCAGCTTCCACCGTAAACCCAGCAGCAGGCTCAAACTCTGTCTCCTTCAAGGTCTCAAAGCCCGCTGCGGTCAGGGCATACACATCAGACGTTTCGTATCCATCAAGGTCGACCTTGGCAACAATCATGAATTTGTCGTGTTGTATCGGTGTGTCGTAGTCGCCAGCCACCCCAGCATTCGCACCCAACGACTTGGGGACTGGCTTCTTGACACACATTGTCCAGAACCCTCTGGCTTCTGGAAACTCAAACCGGCCGATAACTCTGGGCTGGATCTCGCGGTTGATGATGGCAAGGGAGCCTGCTCCTCCACGCCCGACAGCACAGGCAAGTTGCAGATCAGCTGAGACACCTCTGTTCAAGGCAGCCTCCTCACCGTCTGGTAAAAAGGCCGCCTGTCCGCATGTGATATCTTGTATCGGTGCGATGCTAAGCAGCACATCATGGATTCGAAATGTTAAATCCCCAGACTTGGCTGGGCCTCCGTTTGTCGTTTGGGGCTTGACCGCAGCGGAATCCTCGCCGTACAGGTCATCATCCTCTTCATCATCCTCCAAGTCGAGCTCGTCCACTTCCAAAGCCAGATCTGGATCTATGAGCCGAGATTTCCTACGCTTTTCTTGTGTCTGTCTTCTCGACCACCCTAGGACGACGGAGTCGCTAGTTTCGCTGCCGATGAAGAATGCGTTTTTCCCCAGCCGGGAAATACACGCAACTCTGCTCTGGATTACATTGCCACCGCAATCTGCGCCCACCAGCCTAACACTGAGCCCCGATACTGTTCGTCCGTCAATCTTGAAGGAAATTATGCCGAGTCGGCCATCACTTAATATTAAAAGTAGCTCGCCATTTTCAACAGCAAGTAGCTCGATGGCACAGTTCTCAAGGCGCAGATTTAGGTCTGCTTGATCAGTCAGACTAAAGGACGTCGCCAGCTTGGCCATGGGATTGACAGCCACGCCATTTGGCTTTCCAGATTGATCAACATGAATCAACTCATTCTGGCCAACTAACAAGGCGCCACCGACAGGAGCAGGCAGTGCGATGACTTTGTAAAGGTCATGAGGCAGGCCGGTCACTGATAAGATGGTCGTAGAGGCTCTCTGTTGGAGGTCCAAAGTAAAGACCTTGTACGACAGATGATCTTTCGAGCCCAGGGAGGCAGCGGGCGCTTGGCTAGAGGACAAGACACCGAACGTGGGCTCGCGATACTCATGCAGAAAGGTGAGGTGCACGGGGTGAAGCAGGCTCGGGTCTAGGAGGGGCAGACGCAAGACAAATGACGGGATGTATGCTGCTTCTACAGTGCCGCTATCTCCGTTGACAGCTGCCGCTTGTTCCTTGACAGGTCGAGGTCCGTCCAGGTCCTCGTCCCAGTCCTCCATCTCCAGGTCTTCTTCGGAGCGTCTGAAGGGCAGAATGGCGAGGTTTCGGGTGCCGAATTTGAAGGCGGCACACCTACTGCCGGGATCTGCCTCGAGGTGGTTGACATATTCCCCAAACACCTCCTCCCATGGCGCTCCTTGCAGCTCTTCCTTTTCATAGTAGTGGATGGAAATCGTCTCGAGCTCGTTCTTCTTCGGGTCCCACTCTGCCAGACACATCTTGGCCGCCTTGTACGCAAGCAACAGAACCTCGCCCCCTGATGCTGTCTTGTTTGTTTTTAATCTTGCCAGTCCAATCACTGTCCCCGCAAGCGGAATCTCTGCAATGAGCACGAGCTTGGTGTTGTTCGTCCGATCGGTTCGCATAAACATAGACTCGCCGCCGAGAAAGGAGGATTCGAGGCCATCGTCGTCGTTTACTTGACGGTCAAATCGGGTGCCGACTTCTGCCGGCTGATTGGGCTGGTATTCGGGGTCGAGCTCGGCAGAGATGCTCTTGACGGTAAAGATCTGGAGCAGCGAGCCCTTGGCAACGACCAGGTTGTTGGCGGTTGCAGAAGTCAGAGGCAGACTCAGGCTGTGGGTGACGGCTGTGGGAGCCGTGAGCTCAGTGTAGACCTGCATAGCTGCAAGTGCATTGCCTCCGCCGTCTCACGAGCGCGATTGGGCGATGCGGCTGGCGATTGACAGAGACGAGGCGTCGCAAAACAATTTCCTGGAGGTGGGTATTGATGTTTTGTCCGGGGAGCTGCTGCACTTCAGGCCGGCAGTGGGCTAGCGGCCATCGATAGCGGATCAACGCGCTGCCGTGCCGGGCCACTGACATTGAGCTGTATCTGCGGGCAGTATTGGGTACCTACAACCATAGCACGAGACGGGACTCCACTCGCGTATTGGGTACGCTAGGCCTCTTAGACTGCCTCTGTACCTAAGGTACCTTAGCAGCTGCTCCTGTGGAGAGTCACCCCCAGCTCCAATCCAGGCACCGAATGTACCTGAAGCTCTAGAACAGCCCGGGAATGTAACGCTGGGTGAGACAACTGGTGATGCCCCCATTGCGTCACAATCCAGCCAAAGACAACAATCGCCACGCGTTCCCAAAGAAACAACATTGAACCGGTTACAACAACCCACCAGCACAGCTAGACAAATGCCGTACAGCAAAACTGGTCCTTTATCTACAATACACACAGTATAGCACTGCTAAGGACTAAACCCGCCTGTTGCCCGTCATGGCCGCAGGCTTCGTCCAAGCCGGTCTCATCTGGCTGGCTTACGCAGTTGTCGTTTTGCTATGTCTCGGCGCCGCGATCATCACGACCTTCACATGGCAGACTCCCATCGACCGTTCGGCCATGGTGAGCATCGTCGCCATCGTCAGTCTCACATCTCTTCTCGCGACTGTCTTGCTTCTTCCTGTCGATATCGCTCTCGTCTCGTCTACCGGATCCTCAGCTCTAGGCGTCAAGAAGGATTGGGCCACGCCAAAGCGAGTCGCAGATATTCTCTTGACTCTCAAAGTCGTGTACTATTCGCTTTACAGCTTCGATGCCCTGCTGTGCCTCTTGGTCATTCCCTTTGCGTATTTCTGGTATGAGGAATACGATGAGGTCGCCTTTGAGGAGGAGGGCCGGACATGGAAGAGCCGGTTTTGGGCCGCCTCCAAGTATACACTGTTTTTCGTTGCTCTCACCGTCGTGCTCTTCCTTCTGGGATTCTTTGTCCCTGCAGCCGGTGGCAACAAGGGCCATTGGGATCTGGACTACTACAAGTCGCTACTGTCTCAGAACCATGGCGAAAAGGCTCTTACCTTTGCCCTTGGCCTTTTGGTGACGCTCGGAACGTTCCTCTACGTCGTTTATACCAGCGCTGGGCTTGCTCTTCTGCCCATATCCTTCATCAAATCTGCTCCCCCAATCTCGGCTCCCCAGCTCTCAGCAACGACAGCTTCTCAGCTGGAACAAAACCGAGAGCGCCAGCACCAGCTTGAACTACGCAATGCCGGCCGTGAAGAGGGCATGTCTCGAAAGGATAGACGGGAACTAGATGCTCTAATCAGGGAGGAGCAAACTCTAGTCCGGCGTGAGCGCCTCGCCGCTGAGGCCCAAGGCGAGGGTAAGAGCCGAGTCTATCAGATTTGGCTCAAGCTATGTGCGCTGTTCAGACCAGTCAAGATGCTTGGCGGGATCCTGCTGCTGATATTTGCCGTCGTCATTTGGGTGTCCATGTTCATCACAGGCATCGATAAGGCAAAGCATTCCGTCTGCAAGCAAGGATGTGGATACATTCTCGGTCGAGTTCACGTTTTCCAGCCGATGAATTGGATATTCTTGCAGGCGGCGAAAGCTTTCCCCGTCGACTACGTTTTGATGACTTTGCTGGTCCTCCTTCTCTTTAGCAGTTCCATTTCCGGTATTGCCGTCGTTGGAATACGCTTCCTCTGGATTCGCATCTTCCAGATTCGCAGAGGTCGAACAGCCCCGCAAGCCCTTCTCATCGCAACGGTCATGCTGTCACTCATCACTTTGGCCATCAATTACGCGGTCGCCATGTTTGTAGCTCCTCAGTATTCATTTTACGGGACGCAAACATTTTGTACGAATGAGCCCGCATATCCCGGTGCTCAACCGGACTGCAGACACCACCCTGAGTTGGTTCGCCCTTGCTCTGATGACCTTGAGTACAAGCACGCCAAAGATGTTTGTACTCCATCTATGATGTCGACTCTCCTGAATCGTATCACCATCACATGGCCACTATTCGGCATTATTGATTTCTGGGCTCAATACTTCTTCATGGGTGTATTCTTCATTGTCTTTATTACGGCGCTGGTACGTGCCCCAAGAGTCAACGTCGCCGAAATTGATGAGTTTGCCGAGGCCGATGAAGAGGAAAGCCTGCTAGCCTCAACCAGCCGTCGCTTCGATGCGACTTGGCAAGATGTCAGGGGCCAACCGAGGGGGACAAGGAACGGGCCCCAGCTGATTCGAGGCTCGCGGCCACAAATTGGTTAATCAAGTCAAAGACAACATATTTGTCTCTCATTTTTCTTCCCCCCTTTTAAGTTGAGAAATGTTTTGGTGAATTAGTTTGGCTATTCAGATTGTTCTTTGAGGACCAAGAGGACTGGAATTCGGATTATGACATGGTTTGGGAGTTTGGAGTCAACATCGATGAGCGCACCCCCTCGACCGCTTACTTTTCATATGCTGGAGAGATGCACACACAATGCTGGGATTAGGTGGCACACATGGAAATTATGGGTTTAAGCATTTCAATTGTTTTTCTTTTCTTTTTTTTTTATTTTAGGAAAATATCAAGCTCCTAGTGCGACCTGTTGTTTATTCTTCTTCTTCGCTTTAGTGAACTGGACAGCCTTATGGCTTCTGTCGTCAAAGGCAGCCGCCGGTCCAATATGCATCTCCCTCCAGCATCGCGTACAATAAGGATCGCCGTCACATCCTATACATTGTAGCGTAGCATCATCAAGACAGACGGTGCACCAGCCGTCGATGTCGTCATCCGTGTAATCCGTCTTACTGGTAAGTCGTTTGACGGGCTTATCGCCCGCAGACGGCTTTGAACTAGGAACAGAGGGGAGTGAGAAGGTGTCTTCGGTAGAGGGAGCCTTGAGCGCGGCCATGCGAGCCGTGATATCATTCATGTTGCCCGTGGCGCTCGGGCGTTGAGGAGCAAAATTTGGGAGATCTGCGAGATTAGAAGGAAGTGAAGGGAGGGCGAGATCTGCATCTCCGGCCTCACTCTCATCTTGACCATGCTTTGCGGAGTCTGCTTCCTCGTCGGGGCTCCCAAGAGCGGCCTCGAGCTCTATTTCATCTTTGAACTGGGCGATGATGTCCTTCACTTTACTTTGCATGTGCTCGCCGTCTGAATCGTCCGAGTCACCGGCCTTGTTCTCGTCTTCATCCCTGTCTGCGTCGTCTTTCGGCACAGACAGTGATAGATTTTCCAAGAGGGCTTTGACCTGCTCATCGCTGGGCTCTCGCACGGGGTTGTCATCGAGGCTGACATCGTTGAGCAGCTCTTCGAGAGTCTGGTCATCGGTCGAGAACATGAGGTCCATATCATCGCCATCTCCCGGCCCTGATGTAGATGCAGCATCCTTCGCTTTAGCCAGATGTGATGCCGATGTTGCTGCAGTGACAGGCTTCTCCTTTCTTGGTGAGGCTGAGCCACCATCATCCCGCTCTCGCAGCGACTTTAGCCGAGCAGCGAGGGTATCTTCTCGGGTGGCTGGTTTTGATCTCTCAATCAAATCTACGTCGAACCTGCAGTTGTTTAGCTCTAAACTCTTGTTGTCTAGGGATGCAATGAGCGGGTGATTCTCGTACTTTATGGGGGCTGCTCGACCGGGCGATGCGCCGGAGCTTGAACCCCGCAGCGCCTGAAGCCGTTCCAGCAGCGAGTTGTCTATATCTTCAGGCATTGTGTGAATATAATTGATGTGAAATCACTCATTAAATCTTGTGTTTATGGAGGAATTCAGTGAGTCGCATCACACAGCTCTCAAGCCGATTATCATGTGTATTCATGTTCATGTGAGAGGATCTGGTGAAAGCATGATCAATCCGCACGGCGCGCCAAAGTCACGCGCCAAGCTGGCTTTACTTAAGCAGTCTTCGGTTTGCTCTCAGCCTCGCCCTGCTTGACATTCATTGATTCATCACCATCTGCTTTCTCATGTTACATCTTCGCCTGTCGGACAAACTTTTTTCTTTCCATTACAGTCACAGAAGAATTCGAAATGAACAACCTGCAGATTTAAATCATATTAAAGAGAGTCTCCCCACACAGCGCAAAAGTTCCAATCAAAAGTTTCTGTATGAAAAACAGCCTGTAAAAAAGCCTTGCACCCATTTCGGCGATTTGGTGTTGCCAAGAGCTTCAAAGCGTCACCACCGCAGAATCGCTAATGCAGTGTGATTCGACGTAATAAGCAATCGCCGAATTGACCGGTAATATGGAACATGGAACTTTACTGGCAAGATGTGGCCGTCACTCACCCTACCAGGAAACGTCGGCAGATCTGATGATATCATCTCGCCACCTACCGTATTTGTACCCAAGACTGCATCATCATGATTCTAGAACATCTCGTCGCGCGCATTGCCTCTCTTAGTAACATAGGCAAATCGGATTGTTGGTGGCCACCTTGCAGAAAAGCACAAATTAAAAAAGCACTGCCACTTTTAAGATATTCAATTACAATTACTGCATCCGCACTAAAAAAGGCCCTCTGCTATTCCACATGATGCAAGCCCAGTAAGCTCGTCGTGAAGATAGCCCGAAGTCTAATAATCACTGCCCAACAGGCCATGATTCCAAATGATTCCTCTCTATTGGTAGCCGTGTATCATCTACCTCTGGAGGCGGGTTAAAAAAAAAACACCAGAAGAAGCGCCAAACCCGTATCACCGCCAACATTTTTTTTTTGGCAACTCGTCATAAAACATTATGGTATCCATCGTAAACAAGTGAAAGCATACACGTAGACATGAAAGGTAACAAAGAACACCTCGAACTCTAGAAAAGCGTAGTTGTAGAAGAGAGGCCATCGAAGGCCCGAAGTTTTCATCTCTTATGCGAGGAAGACGATGACGACGACCGCAGCAACAGCGGGCCAGAAGCCGAACATCTCAGCGGCGGTTCGCAGAGTAGCTGCGCTCGAATCTGGGCCGTCGGCTGTTGTGCCGTTTGGAAGGCTGCCATTGATGAGAAGGGTCGTGCTGCCGTTGACGTCGGCAACGTTAACAACGCTCTTGTTGAGCGCGCCATAGGAGCCATTTCCGATAAGGCTGTCATAGTACGCCGTGTTGTTGTTGTCATCGCAACTGCAAACATCGTACGTGCCGCATCCACAGAGAACATCTCGCGTCTCGTTACGACCGCTCGACTCATTGTGGAAGTGGTACGGTTGGTGATAAGGGTACATGTACGCGCCGTACAGCCAGATTCCGGGCCAGATAGCGAGAGCAGCGGCGCCTCCAAGGAGAGCAATCGGGACAATACCACTTGGACTCACACCACCGGCGCGGTAGGGAGTTGTCGCACCACCGCCATAGTATCGTCCACCGCCGTATGCTGGCTTGGGGCCGCTTCCACCCACAGATGTGCCTCCGACGTTGGAGCTTGGGGCTCGGTTTCCACTGATATTCTTGTTAGGTTGCCGATGCGGTCGAAATGGGAGGAATGGACGAGGCTTCGGACGGCCGGAGACCCGGTCCTAAGGCCTAACATACGAGCTTCCGCCTCTGCTTCCACTGCTTCCACCACTTCCACTGCTGCCGCCGCTGCTACCGCCAGAACTGCCACCCTTGCCGCCGCTGCTGCCTCCACTGCTGCCGCCTCCTCCTCTGCCTCCTCCGCCGCCACCGCCCTTGCGCTTGTACAGATCGTGCTCCTCTGACTGCGCGATGCCCTCAACTCTCACCACATGCCGGGAGCCATCGATGGCGCTGGCTGTCACAGTGGTGACGAGAGTGACGAGCAGGAGCGTGAAATCGATTCTCATGGTGAACTTGTAAGATGAAAGCGATGCTGGTGGATGTATGAATATGCAAAAGACACGCAGCTGTGCGAGAATAAGAAAGCTAGAGAAGATGAGCAAAGATCCGAGATTTGGCGCGCCAAGGCACGGTATATAAGACAAGCTGGAGACTGGATGGGACGCGGTTGCACTAAAAACTGGAACTAACCTTAGCCTGGGGCAGGGACAAAGAAGCCCGGAAAGGCCCAGGGCGTTTGGGGCTTGCTTAGAAGGGGGCTGGCGGCGAATCTGCCATAGTACCTGTGTTGAGCACCTGGGCAGGTACAAAGAGCCTTGGCCTGTGTGGTGCGACAGCTCCCACCCAATACGCTCTGCGGAAAGTACCTCGTTTGACACCCGGGGCTGAATTTGTTTGGAGCGGATCCGCTCGGGACTTGGGCTGGAGTTGGATACGCTCCAGTACATGTAGGTACCCATCCATTACTCATTTGCTCATGTTGGCTATTTTACCCTGCCACACAGCCATCACCAGCCGTGGAGTGCTCTCTGGGTAAATTTGTCATGGTTCCTCCGTGATCCGCGCGCGACCGCTTTGTTGCTTTGTTGCGCTGTGCGCTGCGGGTTGACCGGCTGACCAACGAAGCAACTTGAAGAGACTGCTTCTAAACCCGCGGGCTCGGCTTTCCATGGCCAACTATTCGAAGGTAAAGCCGTAAATTTTCACGGCAGGAGAGCGCGAAGCCTCTCAGACATCAGGGTACGGAGTGTCGGTCCCGGCCATTGCTACATGGGGTATCTACAGGTATCAACCAAGCTTTCTCTACTGAATAAACTCCGTCGGCATGGGAGCCTGGCCTCAGGGCACCTGTGAGAAGAAGCCACGCTTGGTGGCAGTGCTGTGATCATTGCCGCCTTCTGCTTCTGATGCTTTTTCACATCCATATGGAGTAAGTTCAAGGGACTGGAACAGGTCGAAGTGGTATGTAAGAGGCGGTCAAGTGGCGGCTGGTTGACCGTCTTGTCGAACAAACAGAACCTTGGAATTCCATAGCCGTTGATCAGCTTTCCAAAAGGATAAGACCACTTCCAATTGTCTGCATGTGCGGGAAGACGGTAGGACCGCACACACACATGTTTTGTCGCGGAGTCATACAATGTTCCTCTTTCCTTCTTTGCTTCTTCCTCTTCTTCTTCTTCTCTTTCTTACACGTTTGCTACTTGTCATTGTGCAGATAAAGCGCACCTGCATGGAGGGCGAGTGCGGAGCCAAGAGTGAATTAAGGTTAAAATCTAGGCGAGTGATTGGGCCAGTTAGTGGTCGGGGGGGGCATCTCGGCGTAATTACTCCCGCATCTACATCTTGAAATCAACTGCGTCATCTCAGGGTTCCATTCGAAAGATACAAAGTACACGGGTATCTACCTAATAAGGGAGCAAAATAACCACTGCATCGTCTTTGTTCTATAACAGATTAAATTGATAGGTTTCCAAGCCGAAATGACACGTCTAAATTTATATCATAGAGCACTTATCACCAGCCAATCGTGATCCGACCACAGTCACATGAATGACGCATTTCTTTCAGCAAACTTGAAACACAATGATCCTAAAAATTGATTAGACACCAACCATCTTGGCTTAATTATAACCAATCATCCCATCTACCCGGCAGACAATCGTTCATCTGTGACAACTTGTTTCTAAGTAAAGTATGAGTACATCTGGTATCGTATTCACACCGTTTGTTTGCCAGTGTGAAGATCAGACCATAATACCCGGTTCCTTGAGCATCTGCTACTATCGCTATGTTCCTTTGGTATCTGTTACCGCGGCTACCTTCTTCTATTATATGTTACTATCTGCTACCTTCTTCGAATACCTGGTATTATCACACCCAGATACTAAATAAGTACATAGTAGCTTTCATTTGAGACACAGGATGCTGGATAGCCAATTTAGAGCGCTGAATAGCCACGCTCTACGTATGCGATGATGCCAATTGCTACGTGAGCAACCAAATTCAATCTCTTCTTTCTTTTCTTTTGGCAGCACGCCTATTTAATACGGCAAGAAGTTTGAGGGTTCTATGTTAAGTTATTGCGTGCCCATTTCTAGGCATTCAGGGCCTTCATTTCCTTTATGCGGATCCGCTCATACATCATGCCGGGCTCAAACAAGAAGCCCTTGAGAATATGTACTTCAGGGCGTCACTCATGCAATCTCGTAAGATTAGACGGAAAAAGACCTGTGGACGGATATCTCAAAATTGGAAAAACTCAAAATTGGAACAAGTGAATATTATTATCTGTAACAGTTTTTACATCGTTTTGGGGTGATATCAGTACTTAAAATCAAGGCAGCGATTAAGAACATACCTACTACCTACGCGTGGAAGGGCGTTTTCTGACAGGGGTTGTGAAAGGGGTACTGCAAGATTTATACGTCAGAAATCTAGTCGTAAGGGCCGCCCTGTTACCATTCGACACAGTATAGCATCTTTTGATTTATACATATTCTGCTAGGTTAACGAAAGGTCTTACACTAGTAAAATATTATAAAGTAAAAAACCTTACAGCAGCGTTTTAGCTGTCAAAGCTTACAGTCTGTCAGCCGGGTGTAGCCTGTTAGGTTGAAATTACTGTCAGGTTGAAATTGCTGTCAGGTTATAAGCTATCTAAGTACCTATTTTACAGGGCTACTTGGTACCTAGGTAGGTACTTATAAACCTTGATCGAACGCGATGACCTTGATCGAACGGGATGACCTTGATCAAACGGATCGAACGCGATGACCTTGATCAAACGGGATGACCTTGATCGAACGCGATGACCTTGATCAAACGGATCGAACGCGATGACCTTGATCCAACGGGATGACCTTGATCCAACTGGATGACTTTGATCGCGTTAGATCAAGGTCACCTAGTTAAATCAAGGTCATCGCGTTTGATCAAGGTCATCCAGCTGGATCAAGGTCATCGCGTTCGATCCGTTTGATCAAGGTCATCCAGCTAGATCAAGGTCATCGCGTTCGATCAAGGTCATCCAGCTGGATCAAGGTCATCGCGTTCGATCCGTTTGATCAAGGTTGTTGAATAAAAGAAGTTGCAAAAAGCTTGGGCTAGAAAACAACAAAGGCTATAGGGGCTGCTGGGCGCTATAAGCGCTATAAGTTGGAAAGCTATGTAAACGATGTCAGGATGTAAAAGCTGTCAACGGCCCTGATAGCTGTCACCGGGCTTGATAGCTGTCAACGGCCCTGATAGCTGTAATCGGGCCCTGATAGCTTGCCGGGCCTGATAGCTGCTTTTAATAGAAGGCTGTTGAATTAGAAAGCTGCTACTGGCCCTGATAGCTGCTGCTGACTAGATAGCTGTTGGGTTGAATAGCTGCTATTAACGAAAGGTCTTAGGTTGAAAAAGCTGTATTTAGCAAGGTAATCTAGTCTAGAAGGAACGCTGTTTAAGCAAAAAATCAAATAGCCCGAAAACAGCTGTATGTCTCTGTTATCGGCCTTTCGAGCGCGAACAAGCTGTCACGGTGCGAAAATCATGCACTAGCACTGTCCACAAACCACCCTCCCGCGCGTAGGTAGACAATATGTTGGATGGGATTGAGGGTATAGGTACCTGTAAAAAGAGCGTGGGTCCAACAGCTGCAGCGGCGAAGTAGTCGTTTTTACGCCTGATCCCACACATTATACTGGCTGACAACGCATCACTATTTCGTCTCGTTCTTTGATATGGAGATTTTGGAAACGATGCACGCCACCTTGGGCTCGACTTGTGAGGCTGGCGAGACAATAACCCGGAGAATTCTTTGCCGACTTGGACTGTTGAGCTGAAATGTCGGTGGACAAGCTTGGAGTCAATTAGGCAAACACATAAAATTTTCCAGTAAGAGTAGATGGAGAGAACGTTTCTCAAGAGCCGGTTTAGCCTTTGTACTTGTAATTGCGAGGAATCCAAGTATTGAAAAATACTAGAGACATGCGGAGACACGCAGAGACATGCAGAGACACTTGACAAAGAACTGATCGAATGGGAATGGGGAAATATTCGCTGCAGAGACCGTTATGTCACTGGCCCATGTGCCAGTCAGGTGTAAGAGGACGCTGATCTTGTAAATGTAGAAGGCCATGGTGAGATGGTCAATGCTCGAGGAAGTAGAGATAAGCGAGGTGACTTTCTCGGCCAGAGCATGATTTTCTGATTCAAAATTGTATTGAGGCCTCAGGCTGCAATAGACTCTGCTCTTATTGTATTTCCATGGTCTTTGAGTTTGCCCTCACTTTTGGCTGAGAACATCACAGCAGCCACTCCCATACACTAAAATTTAGCTGCAGCTTGTTCGCTTCCGCATGCCGATCGGCACTTTAGGCTGAAACACGTGCGCACGTACCACCTATGGATGACTCAGCGGATTCTGCCGCTGCGCTCAAGCGCCACCTCCCAGCTTCCTCCAAACAACCACATCAGAAGCTCACCTCGAGTTCGCAGAAGGAACTCTCTGCTCAACATCCACCTTTTCCCACTCCTTCGATCGCACCGATATCCCAGTCGCCCGTTTCCAACCCATCAAAAGTATGATTTAGGCCCTCTGAAGCCTGCAGACCCCTCGGAGGACGCCTTGAGGGGAGGTAGCGCGTCACGATCATGGCCGAGGAACTCGAGTTCTCGTCATTTGACGAGAAAGATTGGAAAGCCCAGGATGCTGCCGACGACCGTGAGATTGCGCGACTCCTAGAGCAGAGTCAGGATGGCCCTGGCGGTGGTCTCAAGCTTGACGATACGCCTTTCGATCAAACCAACAAAGCAGACGACGCAGAAGACTTTGAAGATATCAGCGACGACGACCTACCCGACGAAGAAGAGCCTAGCGCAGGCACATCGCTGGAAGTGCCTGCCCTGACAGATGACGGAAACACAAGCAACGATGCAGACGACCTGTTTGGAGAAGGCCCCTCTTCTCCCATCGACCTCGTCGATGGCCCAACTTCTCCCGCTCCTCACGTTCGCGACGCCGAGGCAGTTGACGATTCACAAGTGGTCGATGCAGGCATAAGCTTTGGGGCCATCAATTTTGACCCAGATCCACACCTCAACGGCGCCGCCAACCAGGATCCCGGCATTCCTGCCCCTGCCGAATCGATCGGAGACTTGTTAAAGGCAACATGGCCAGCATACAAGAAAGGTCATATTCTTACCTGGAGCGAACTTTTGCCGCCAAAGAAGGCGACGTGGAAGGAGAAGAAGCCACTCAAGAAACCCAAGTATCTAGTGACGAGCAAATTAAGTCTTGACCTAGCGCCTGATGATGAAAAGCAATTCCGGATCCCTGGGCCAGCAAGCTCAACTACGAAGGCGAAGCCAAACGAATTAGCGGTCAACGGTCTAATACATTGCAACCTCGCAAGCGATGGCCAGGAGGAAGACATTGCGCAGTTTGATGTTGATCTGGACTCTGACGCAGAAACTGTCATGGGCTTCACGTTGCGTGATATTGAGTTGGCATGCGAAGATTGGAATGTCCATATCGACACTGTCGAAAGCAACTTTGCGGCTCAACAGCTGGCTGCAGAACAAGCCGCAACATCACAAAAGCGCCACATCGACGAGGTTGAGCAAGATGACGAATGGGATGCAGAGTTCCTGATGGACGTCGCTGATGATCCCCAACCTCGCCCGAAGAAACGCAAAGCGATTCAGCTCGGCTTGCCCGAAATTCCTCGCTATACGGCTCCCTCTTTCGATAACTTTGAAGATGCGACTCGGCGAGGCGCTAAACGCGTCCATCTGGATGTTAACGACCCACATCTTCTGCTAGAGACGGAGTCATATAGTCACAACAAGAGGCCACGGCAAGAGGCCAAGATGAAGCGCATGGCGAATGGAAACATGGGCCGGGACATCTCACAGCGTTTCAACCTCTCCAACGATGAGGCGTACGAACTGTTGAAAGAAAATCATCAGAGTAAAGTCAGAGCTACTCTCGGAAACATCTCGGTGGAACACGGCATGCCCGCCCTCAAGCTTTCATGGCCATATTACAAGGTCAAGCTTGGTGGGACAACAGATGAATATCATCGCCCTCGCTTCCGCTATAAGAAGACAGTGGGACACACCGTCAAGTTTGATAAGCCAATGCACTTCAAGCGAAAGCAGATGAAAGGCAAGGCGCATGAAATCTTCCTCAGGTCTAGGGACTTGAGCTTGTGCGATAACTCGGCCGCTGTGCTCTTCGAATACTGCGAGCCGAGGCCGAGGGTATTAAACAGCTTCGCAATGGGTAGCCGGCTTATCAATTACTACAGACGGAAGGAAAACAGCAATGAGGAGGATCAGCTTGCGAAGCTGGACCTGGGCGAGTATCGCACCCTTCTTCCCGAGGATCGGTCGCCATTTTCCCTATTTGGCACCGTCGACCCTGGTGAAGTTGTGCCAACGCTGCACAACGAAATGTACAGAGCACCCGTTTTCAAGCATACCCCTCGGAACACAGACTTTCTTATTATCCGCAGTACTACGGGTATTGGTGGTCCCAAATGGTACATACACAAGATTGATCATATGCACGTCGTCGGCCAGACCTTTCCATCCGTGGACGTTCCAGGGCCTCATAGTAGGCGCGTCACGAATGCGTCAAAAAGTCGAATGAAGATGCTGGCGTTTAGAATGATTAGGCACAGCCGAACAGATAACTGCCAGTTGTCCGACATTACTAAGCATATTGCGGACTCTACGGATACTCAGAATCGGCAGAAATTGAAAGAATTCCTCCAATACGACAGAGATAGCAAGGAGAAGGGGATGTGGCGTCTCAAACCCGGAGAGATACTTCCCGATGAAAATGCCATACGCGCCATGATCAAGCCTGAGGAGGTGTGCCTTCTTGATGCCATGCAGCTCGGTATCAAGGAACTTGAGGATGCCGGCTATGACCCTCGCAATGCCACCATCGACGATGACGCACAGGGGCTGGATGCGGACGAAGACGAAGACGACGATGGCGAAGGAAGCAAAATCGTCAAGGGGGCTAAGAAGGTTGCCGAGAAGCAGGAAGAAACACTTGCTGATAAAATGGCTCCCTGGAAAACGACAAAGGCGTTCATCGATGCATGTGCTCAGAAGGCCATGCTTCAGCTACACGGCGAAGGAGATCCTACCGGCCACGGACTTGGATTCAGTTTCATCAGAACTTCCATGAAGGGCGGCTACATAGAAGCGGTTCAGGGACCCTTGGCCACGTCGGCGGATGCAATGGAGCGTGAGAAACGGGCTAACGGCGGACACGCATACAACGTCAAGAAGCAGCAGGCAATGTACGAAGACGGTATTCGCGAAATCTGGGACAAGCAGAAATCGACCCTCTCGGACCCCCAAGAACACGATGTCAACGATATTGCGACGACAGAAGACGAAGACGATAGATTCAACGTTCAGTCAGCAGCCACGCCGGCCGTATTCGACGACGGGAACAGCCAGATCAGCGGCTTAACATCCTCCAGCCGCCATCCGAAACGAGCGATCCGCATCTCGAGAGAAGTAGAGCTTCCAGACGGCACGACGCAGACGAGGATCGAGGTTGTTCATGACCCAGTAGTCATTTCACAATACATCAAGCGGCGAACCGAGGCCGACTTGGAAATGAGAGAGTACGTCAAAGCCATTGTTCGCGTTCAAACCCTTTCCAAAAAGCCGCCCGCCACCTGGAGGAAGCTGCCCGTCTCCGTCCGGGCACTTCATCGGTGGTCGAGGCTTGCGAAATCTTACGTAAAGAGGCGGCCTTCTTCTTATGGACCAGGATCTCCCTGTTCAGTGGCAGATATTGGCTTGGAATTCAGAGCGCCAGCTTACGTATATTTCTCTACAGTATCTACAGCGCAAGGCCTACGGGCAATGCCGATCATGACCGTCTTGCGGGCCTTAGGTAAGCCTACACCCCCTTTTGCAAAAGTTGGAGGTTTGCTTTTTATAGTAGTTTGCTCACATTGCCGCGCAGGATCAAAAAGGAACTCGAGCGACTGGAGAAAAACAAGGCTCGACGCCAAGCTCGGGAACAGCAGAAAGAGCTGCATCAAAAAGCCAGCGCCGGCGACGCCGGGTCTCCTGGAGCCGATAAGATCCCTACAGGAACTACCCGCAAGTGTGCCAATTGTGGACAAGTTGGACACATCAAGACAAACAAAAAGTATGGTAATTCCTACTTGTTCACCTTCACCCCCCATCTCACCACCCCCTCGTGTGTTGTTTGATTGGTGGCATCATGCCCAGGAGGCGGAAGATGGCGCCAGTAGCGCCAGAAGGAAGAGGAGAAGGAAAGCAACTCTCCTAGCCCGAAAGCTGCATCAGTCAGATGCTCAAGCTAGGAAACAAGAACGAGCAACCCTGGCCAAGCGAAACAGGAGTAAGAAGGGCAGGGAAGAGGAGCCAATTCAAACGCAAGAAGAGCTTGAAAAAGAGCAAGCGCTCCGCGAGGAAAATGAGCAGCTGCAAATCCTCAAGCGAGAATTGCAGGCAAAAGCCCGCCAGCAGAGAGAAGAAAGAGAAAGGGCGCAAGGCTTCACTGACCGGGCATGGTGGAGAGCCGCAGCTGGCAGGTCTCATTAGCCACAATCCCGCGGGCTAATGGTACCTGTGATGCTCCCACTTTTCCTCTGTGCAACCTTGCCTTTTCCGATTCAATACTCTGATTGTTTCCCCCGCAAAAAGATTATATTTTTGCTAACTTTACGCGCTACCCAAGACTATGTCCTTTGCTTAACGGCACGATGAAGGCGGACAACGGCGCTTCGGAGCACGGCGGCTTTGGTAACTACAATGCCCCCGCGGGAGGCGCGGGATCACCGATCTAAATATTTTGATACCATTCAAACTCTGAAGGCTGCGATACTAGGCGGATTATTTGTCTATTCCTGCGTTCGGCAGAGAGGAATAGCGCACCAGCCGATACAGACGAGAGGAGAGATAAGCTGAGTGGAGTATCCGAAGCTTTCCACGGGGCAAAAAGACAGAACTCACTACAGCTGTCTGATGAAAAGCCTCTTGTAGGCATGGGTTGGACGGTTCCGGTAACGAGAAGATTGGAAATGATGAATTCTAACTAAATACACCAACGGGGGAGGAAAGGATGGTTCCGGAGTTGGAGGGGATTTTTCTTTTCAAAGAGTGGTAGCCAAACACGGCTTGATTGGCGTTCAAAGGGAGCAGGAGGTCTTTTTTTGCATCAAACAAAGAGTTTGTTTCGAAACATAAGCTCGGCATTTTAGGGACTAAGTAATATTTGCCTGTACAAAGAGAATTGTTCATGGTAACGGTAACGGTTATGGTGACAAAGATGTCAAATGGCGTGCACAAAGCTCTATGTGACCTGTCATGAAGGCCTTTTTTGTTTTCCCTTAAAAATTGTAGACTACGTAGCCCGTACCTGGGGGTGAGGCATGTCAGACTATGGCCTGTATTGAGCCTGGCAGCGTGAGGAATTAGGCTGCTGTGGATTTCTGAGGGCGCATGATTGGGTCTCTGTGCAGCTGGGGCAAGTATTTGGAAAACGAAGGCTAACCGAAACACGCAAAGGTGGAAATTTGGATGAATGAGATGTGATAAGTTGGCACGGCTACAGAAATCCAGTTGCGTTTCCGTATCTGTGTTAAGCGAGTCGTGGATGTTTGTATGCGTGATAACGGTGATGGTGTTGATGGGAAGCAAAAGGGCGGCGTCATAGCGCTGGAATAAAGGAACAAGGGGGGAAAGGACCCAACCAGGGGTCCAAGATGTATTTTTAGAAACGCGACGACAAAACCTTGCATAAGCCTGCAAGGGAAAGTGGGACCCAATCGGGCAGGCTGGAGTGGCGGCGGAGAGGCTGAGCGGAAAGGCGGCGGAGTCAGAAGTGAAAAGGGAATTTGGTTGAGGTGAAGTGGGCTGATGATGTTGAATTCGGGAGGGTATTCCGTGTTGTTGGGGACTGGAGGTGGATGTTTTGTTGCAGGGAACAATGGGATGCAAAGCGGAGAGATGTGTCGAGGTAGGGATCGGGGAGAGAGTGGGAGAAACAAGATACGAGTAGTAGTATAACAAAACAAAGAAGTAAAAGAGAGGATGGATGCAGTCATGTACAAACACGTCCGTGTAAAGTCTGTCAGGGCCAATGACGGTATAGGCAAAATAGAATTATGAGCTGAGAAGGAGGCTGAGCCAACGAAAGAACCTGGTTCGTTTACCTGTTGTAGCCTGGCCACATGCAATGTCTGCAGCATTACGCTTCTTGACTGGGGTTGCTACTCTTATTTTAGTTCTTGTTCCTTGTTCGATTCGAAGGGGAAGGGGGGGAAGCGTGGGGGTTTCATTGCGTCTGTAAAGTTTCAACTGCTGCAGTGTTCTATTTCCGAATAGTTGGAAGCAGCACGGCTTTCTGGCGAGTACAGAGCACGCGTAGGGGTCGCGGCAGGGCGCTTATTTGTGACTGGTGATAGGACGGGCAAGGACAAGACAGGACAGGACATGATCTAGGGCTAGGTTACAGGTATTCGGATATGATTTTAGTCTACGGGGTACTAGAGCCTCTATGGCAAGTCTACTCATCACGTACGAGCTGTAATGGAAGTAATAGTACTAAGGCTTATCCGACTGGGTGGAAAAGCGATAGACGACGATTGAGACGCTTCGGCAGGTGACTATAAGAAGCTTACTGGTACGAGGACCTAGAGTAGTCGCCGCCTAAGCGCGTGGCCCCAAAAGATCCACGAGGCTCTGGCGAGAAGCGCGTGTGGGAGGCGTGCTAGCATTGGTCACAAAGGCGACGGTGACGAGGATGAGGTCAGCGTGGGCTCGGGTATCGAAGTTTCCGGACGACTCGCTGAATCTAAGCAGCACGTTGTCTGCCCTTGTAGCCTTGCCGACGACCAGGGGGGGGGAAGAGAGAAGAGGCATCTTTGACGACTCTTGGCAGCTCGCAGTTGGTGATGGAGCGACATCGCCTGCAGGGTCGGCCAGTCCTGCCGTCAGTCCTCATGGGGAACTGGGGAGTGGGTTCGACGTTGGTCTGCAATGATCAGGGCTTGGCTGGAGAGACAAAACGGCACGGACATTCGAACGTCTTTGCAATCGGTCGAGCCAACAGATGTGCCCTGTAGCCGCTTTGTGTGGTGGGTGGGTGGCGGCTAAACAGGGCGCGGAATGGCCGTAGCCGCGATGCATCACAGCATAGGTATACGCGGAGTTGGGTCCAAGGCAGAATCTCATCCTGGATGGAGGCTTGTGAGACGTCGAGAGAATTCGTTCATCGTGGAAGCTTGTAGTCAATGCTAGTCCATTGATTGAGATCAATACGTGAGCTCGTGTACGTGTATGGAGTAAGTAAGAGATGGACTACCGAAGAACTGACTAATGGACTAGAGTCGGGCTATAGAGCTCCTGACTAATGTCGTTGTCAACCGTGGGGCGAGTTTACAAAGACCAAGCCTGTGATGGCTTAACGCACCATGTTCTATCCACTGACTCGGCTACAAAGGCCGCGAGTGAGAAAGAGCCTGAACAAAAAAGAACTCAAATCAAGTCAATTCCATATACAGTGGCCCCCGTTGCAAGACAGAGAGAGAGCCCAGACCCTTTGAGGGGGCGGTGGGTTGAGGCAAACTGGTTCATGAGCCCTGATGACGTGATTTGTCGAGTCGGTATAGACTGGAGCCTTGACAAGTAAGTACATACAGCAACGGTATCTAAACAAACCGTTTCTTTGTGATATGTCTGTCTGTCTGTCGAAACAAAAACAAAACAAAAGAGAGTACAGGGGGGAGAACCACGCCAACAAAGGGCCTACATGGAATAGACGGTTGGACTTCATGACCCATCAATGGATATAGTAGGTATGGATCCTTGCAACCTCACCTACAAATTAGCGCGAGCCGTCCACTCAATGCTGTATGTCAACCTGTTCTAGGTGCATCAATCCCCTGTAGCCGTTGGTGCTAAGCCCGTGCTGTGCGTGCTGTGCTTGGCGCCGCAGCCAGTCATAGGGCTCGTAGCGGCAGCAGTTTGTGCTCTTGTAGGGGACCGCAGCCTCCGCCTCCACCCTTGCTGCTTTGGCTCTAGCGACGGCAGAACCTCTTGTTCCCTATCCATCTTTTCACGTTCCCACCCAGCCTTTCAGACTGAACACGATCTGGCTATTATTAGAAGCCTCCAACGCCAGATTCAGCCCCATGGTGCTGCAACACGTTTAAACCGACCCCCAGCATCGATCAACTGCACCATCTTTGCCCCGAACCGAACCCGAACCCGAACCCAAGCGACAGACTGCCGCTGCATAGGTGCATTGCAGCGCATCGCATCGCGACAGCGACAGCGACAGCACGGCTCTGGCTCTGGCTCCGCTCGCGCTCCCGTTCCCAGTGAAGACAGACCAACTTGGACGCAGGCAGATTCATTCATCCTTGGGCCTCTTCTGACGGCATCATCCTTGCGAGCCTCTCTCTCCCGCGACCTGGTAGCTGTACTTGTACACCTCGCTCGTACATAGGTGCCGTCTCCTGCCTTTGCTTTGCCCTTGGCTCTGGCGGTTTGCCTCGACGCATCCATCGCCCTCCTCCTCCTCCTCCTCCTCCTCCTGCTGCTGCTGCTGCTGCTGCTCCTCTTCCTCCTCGCCCTCGCCCTTGTCCTCGCCCTCGCCCTCCCTGCGCGCCCGCGCAAAAGGCAAAACAAGCCAAACAGACGCACATCAACCTCTTGTCCGTCGCCCGGCCTGTTCTCCTGATAGACCCCGTCTTACCTCGCTCTCCGTCCTCTTGTCTCTTCTCTTTGTGGGTCCGGACAAACACTTCCCTGCGGCGCGTGCTTTTTTAGACATTGCACAAATCTTCGCTCCCGCTTCACGGGCCCGTTTTCGACTGCGATTGCGATTGCGACTTCGCCTCTAATCTCGGACGCCCCCCCGAAGACCGATCGGCCTTTTTCGAGCTTCAACTCGAGGCCCGACAGAGATATACACACGCACGCCGGCCTCCTACTAGCCGAGCCGAAACCTCTAACTCGTTGACCTCGCGCGCCGTTGCACCTCACTCTCCTCGCAGCGCGATACCTTGGCGCTACAAGCAATAATTCAACATGGGTCGAAGAAAGATCGAGATCAAGGCCATCAAGGATGACCGCAACCGTTCGGTGTATGTTGCTGCCAGGCCATTCCCTTGAGCCCATCGCCATCTCGGCATTTAGGCTAACCCCAGTATCTGTCTAGGACCTTTCTCAAGCGAAAGGGCGGTTTATTCAAAAAGGCACACGAGCTCTCCGTCTTGTGCTCCGTCGATGTTGCCGTCTTCATCTTCGGCAACAACAAGAAGCTGTACGAATACTCTTCAGCCGATATGCAGCATCTCATCACCAGATACCAATATGTAGGTTCCACCAAGCCCGCTGCTTCGGTCGCATGGCATTCATATCCTCTCAATCTTGTGTTTCTTCGTCCCCCTGGCTGGACGCGATTAGCTAACGCCATGGCATAGCACGGTGGCCCCAACGAACACAAGGGGCCCTCCGACTTCAATGGTGGTCAGAACGACGATGATGACGATGAGGATGGAGATGGGACGCCTCCTCGAGGCTCCGACGGCATGGACAGCTCGCACATGATGCCGCCTCATTTCCAGGGCCAGGCCCCTCCGCCTTTCCCCCATATTCGCCATCAGACAGCGTCGGTGTCGCCTCCCATTCCCAACGGTGTGCCTTTCCAAGGTCACCCTGCTCATCTTCAGCGAAGCCATACGCCGCAACCCGCCGTGCCGTCACGGCCTGGTTCGAGAGGAGACGTGCGCCGCATGGGCCCTGGCATGATGTCTCAACCCGTTGGACCTCACGGACCTCATCCGGGCATCACTTATATGCCCACGCCACCCATCTACAATCCCTCTGCTGGCAACCAGTCCAGCCTCATGCCGCCTCAACCTGGCCCCTATCCATTCCAACCTCCGCAGCAGCAGCCGCCGTATATGGAAGAACGAAGGCCATCTGCACCCCCTACCTTTAGTGCTCATCCGCCGCCCCAGCCGATGGCAGTAGGTCCACGCACAGAGCAACCGTCTCCTCAACCGCCTCACCAACTGCTACCTCCGCACTCCATGCCTCATACTACCTCACCCCAGCCGGCACGTCGTCACCTGGACCCGCAGCCTCCTCCACCAGTCGAGCCAAGGACAGAGTCCGCGGAGAGGCCCAAGGCGCCACTCATTAACACAGATACGGCTATCAAGAAGATGTCCCAGCGCAAGTCCCACAGCATCTTTACACCAATCGAGGAAAACAGATCCATCTTATCCCAACATTTGGCATCCTTTGCCTCTGAGCCTCAGCCTATAAAAAACGATGGAATCTCGGCTCCAGCGAACCCAAACCGTTCCCAGTCGGCAGATACCGGGGCTACAGCTCGAAATGGAGAAACGGCTTCGCCACATCTGCAACAACGATCCAGCTTGCGTAATACGTCGGTGTCCTCCCTTCCCGATACACCAACGCAGACCAGTCTGAAGATCAACACGGCTATAGGAGGCACAAGGCCAAAGCCGCCTCGCCTGACGGTGCAAATCCCTGATGGCGGATCGGAAGCTGGCAGTGCAACGGGAGACTCAAACTCGCCTCGAAACGCGACGGAGGCTGGATCCCACGCGCCGCATCGCAGTGGCGTGGTCCTCCCTCCCCCTTCTCCGTCTGCTACGACACTCTTGTCCGCAGGGGCCACAGGGCCTCCCAATCCTTTCGCTCGGCCGGTACCCCAGCAGAACGTCAATGGCGACACGCCCGTTTCGGCCCTTCCCTCTCGGTTCCTGAACAATGAGCTACTACCAAGCCCCAGCAGTTTCTATCCAGAGTGGAATTTCAGAGGCAGTGATAACAATACGCTGCCCAGCCCTCTCAACTTTGCCACACCCTTGGTGGGCACCGGGCCCAGCTTCCTCCGAGACGATAATCATTTGCTGAGCACCAGCAGTGGGAACGCTAGCACCGGTACAGGAGGCGGATCAGGCCTGGCAAAGCGAAAGAGTCCAGATCTTGACGCGGCCGGGCACGACGAGAACCACGAAACGGCTAGTGACCCTAAGCGCCTCAAGGTGGAACGATAGGCTGTATCAAATACTGTTGATCGATTGCGATACTCAATATTTTCTTCCAGATACCCCCTTTGTCATGTCATCTTTTGCTTTGTTTTCTCCTCCTCAACAACTTCTTCTTCTTCTTCTTCTTCTTCTTCTTCTTTCAAGTGTATTTATTAGGCTATTTGATGGATGTTTTAATCATTTGGCCGGATTGATTACAGAGCCGCATGAGCTGGATCATGGTGGAAAGTTCCATATTCCTTTCGTTATATCCCTCGCGAAGACGGGGGGCATTTGTCTCTTTTTTTTCTTATACGGGGAGTGTCGATTGATTTATTGGACGGTGTTGAAACGAGGCTTTTGTTATGATACCTCTTCACGCTTGTCGTTTTCTTTTTCTTTTTTTCTTCTTTCCTTCTTTCCTTCTTTTCTTTCTTTTGTGGCATATCGAATGGGTTCATCCGCCTTCTTTTGTGGAGATACGGAAAACGGGACAGAATATCACTTGTCAGATGTGACAAGGACAAGTGATTGAGGGATATGGGGGAAGCCTGGATGAGTGTTTTTATTTCCGGGCGTTTTGGTTTAGAAAATGTTGCGGAACAAGAGATGGGAGAATGAGGCATTGATGGGTACTGGTGGACACTGTTTGATTCTGCAATGTTGAATATATTCGGGGTTTATCCATTGAAGAACTGGCCTCTACTCATTCTACTTGCAACACGTGAGGGTGGTTACGGGAGTTGGCTACCTATGTATGTGATCTCGTCGATGTCTTATCACACGTTATTGATTCTCACGGCGTGGAACAGTAGTTGTATGATTCGCCATACTAGCATATTAACTGCCGGTAAGCCATTCTGTATTATCCATAGATGCCTATGTTATGCTACTCTTTTGCATAGGAAAGAACGGAGATGGAGTATAAGAAACGTCAATTCATACGCCACGTAGCCTACTACCGTTGGGCGTAAAGTAGTTCGGAAATATAATAGTAATAAAACATAAGGGGAATAAAACTCGTGTATAATCACATTAGCCAGAGAAGCAAGTCAAGAAAACAGAAAGCCATCATCGAAACGTCACGCGTAATTCAAAACGCCTTTCAGAATCCACTACGTCAAGCATCTTCAATTAGCATATTACAGCTTTCCTTTTTCCACAAAAGAGCAAACTTACCACCTCGCCATTGGCGACCCGGCTGGCGACACGATCTACCTCTACGCCATCCGGCATGATGACTCTCTTCTCGTCGCCGTTATCATCCTTCTTGGCCTCCCACCAGATGGTTGTCCCGGCGGCCGTCTTGACCTCGGCGCCGGCTTCCCACGGACTCGTCCCGATGACCAAGTGCGCCTGGACGAACTTGCGCAGGTTCTCGTCGGCACGGTCTTTGCCGCCCGACCCGTCGTAGGCCTGCGATCCTAGGGCGTCGTAGTCGCCGGGGTTCTCCCAGGGCTTGCGCGGGAGGTCTTCGATGACGATGTTGTTGGGCGCGAGGACGGTGGTGTTGGTCTTTGCGTCGCCGAGGGGCTCGCTGGTGTCCTCGTGGAGGCGCGACAGGGAGAAGAAGGTGGTGAGGGAGCGCTGGGTGCCGAGGATGTCTATGAGCAGCACGGCGGGCTGGACGTGGCCGTCGTCGGGCGCGGGCATCATGACGGGGAGGTGCCCCGGGGGAGGATGTTGGGGGAGCCGGTGGTGGATGGGCTCCTGGGCTGCTTGGTCGGACGCCGTGGCTGCGGTTGTGCTGGTGAGGACGCTGAGGTGGAGGAAGTTGGAGAACCGCATGGTTCTATTTTGAGTGGTTGGGCGCGAGTTGGGCTGCAAGTAGTTTGTCCTGGATATTGAAACGATATTGGATGACGAGCAGTTGGATTTAGCAGATGTCAGGCGAGTCAAAGCTCGACGACGTCACCGGGGGTGGTTTGACCGAATTGGGCAATCAGCGGCGGCAGAGTGCTGAAAAGGGGAGAGCATGGAAAAGTCACATGACTTGGAGAGAAGTGGACGAAAGCCCATGAGGAGGGAACGAGGAGTGGGAGCGCAAGAGGTGGAAAAATAATATCCGAAGGCTAAAATGCTAGAGCCGGTGGGTATTTCGACACAACGACGAGAGCAAAAGTGGATGAGATGGAAATGAATCCGTCGCAAGATGGCGATTACAAGGGGGGTATCGAGAGAGTGTACTCGGCGTCTTGACTTATGTATAGGTACTTTGGTGTAAGTTGTACGAAGAGGGCATTTTATGGCTACCCACTTACTGGATGACAGCTGGGCACTGGAGGAAAGTACCTAGTGATGATGGCGGGTACTAGATGTGGTAGATGTGGTAGATGTGGTAGATGTGGTAGATGTGGTAGATGTGGTAGATGTGGTAGATGTGGTAGATGTATCAGTAGACACGAAAAACGCAGGAAATGCGGCGGATGCGGTAAACTCTCAAAAGTTGTTAAATAAAAAGTATATAAATATTAGAGATACAAGTTACGCTTGTTCATGGAGTACATCATACAACGACTTCGCTAGATTATCAGATTATGGCCAGCAATATTTCGACATTGGCCGTTTTACGCTAGATGGGAAGGACTCCAAACGGCCACCACATCCTCGGATAGTCTCCTAATTGAGTCGCGGTATCATATAGTTGTTGATAGAAATGGATGATGCCTAGTATTTACTTGCTCTAAGATGCTCTCATGGCAATTGGTAACACTAATAGTTCCCCGGCTGTCTTGGGGTTTCACGATCGACAATGTGCAAGCTAAGGCGTTGGCTTGCCCGACAACTCATTTCAGAAACTCTCCGCCAGCTTCGAATCAATCATCTATTCGGACCTTCAAAACTGTCGGCAGCATCCGTGTCCGTGCCCCACTTGCGTCCAACCCACAGCCCCAGAGGAATTCGATCTTAGTCCATTCCTTCTATAGCCGGCTTCCCTGCTGCGGCTATGGCAGTTTGTCTTTGGTCTGTGACACGCAGATTTGTCTGTAGTGTAGCGTGGTCTGCACAGATATACAGGAGTGGTCATAAAGGGAATCCGATGGATTTCTATCATGCAGAAAGGACATTGTTGCCACAAGTTGGCTCGACGTTAGATTAAAGAGGTGGTAAAATCTCTAGACTTGGGCAATGGACATTTGGGTTAGAGACGCCGACAACAACTCGAATGAGAAAATATAGCCATGTCTAATGATGCGCAGAGTAGAAATGGAAGAAAGGATAAGACAAGACGAACCGATCATATCATATCCGATGCGTTGCTCATCAACTGCACGGATCTCTCGTGCATGTTTGAGATGACGTGAAGCAAGACGATTGTTGTTCACTCTTTCTCCCAACGGACAATTTACCTGAATTTACTCCGTAATCCCATATCCTATCATCTTGTCCAATAGTGCACTCATACTTGCTTTAAAACGTAACGAGGTTGATTCAACCCTTAAAAAAACAAGCAGCACAGTACATGTGGTTGCTTCATGGTAGTTGGTCACCACCCTCGTACCAGAGGTGTATCCCCTCATTTCAACAATACAAGGTATATGGCAAGAATTCTGGGGAAAACTGAATGCCTAGGCCGTGGCGTCACGGGATAATGGTTTAGGGCATTGATTTTCACGTGAAAGTCATCCTTGTTTGAAGGGGAAAATAGAACAACAAAAAGAGCAAAGGGGTTATGCACAGAATTGCTACTCCGTACGCCTGAATCGGAGAGCCTGGGGCTCCCCAGGAGCGTGGCTGGGGAATCGGCTCACCGGTGCAGATTCCGGCAAAGAGAAAAGCCGTCATCTGACTTGCGCCGTGTGGCCCCCCGGATTTGGGAGTTGTCATGTGTGGGGTTGCTGTAACGCATTGTTTCTGCTTGTTCACTCGATGTATGTACCTGCTCGTACTCGTACTAAGCTTACTCGCGTGTACAGGAGGGAAAATGACACATGAGCGCGGTGATGTCAGTTTCGGTGTCACGGTCAGCTGGCTGATGTTCTGCGACCTTGACATGTGAAAAGCATGTGGGTGCAAGGTTTTGGCTGTGGTGGCTTGTGCTAGTACAAGTAGTTGGCGCCGTGGGAACACTGTCATGCTTGGTCCAGTATCAATTGGTGGAATCGCATGTTCGATTGGCCATCGTTTAGTCTTGCCAAAGAAAAGGACAAGGAGATGGGCGTCGATACGGATGAATTATGGGTTAGTTACGAGGTGAGCTTTGTTGAAGCGCGTCTTGGTTAATGCATGGCTAGCAGCGTGCTGGAACAGTTTGCGCCTTGTTGTTTTGGGGCGACGATACTTATAGCCTCGGCAGTCGCTCATCACGTCAAAGACGCCACGCGAGACGGTCCATTGCCGGTCAAAAGTCATGAGGCTCTCCAGACAGATACTCTCTACTGTTATTTCTACATGAATCCGTTTCGAGAACGCTTCTTCGCGGTTTCTGCTCTTCCAACATGTGTTTCCTCCTGATCCAATGGCCGCCGGATCTTCGGGTATATGCTGGCCGAATGGACGTGCCCCAGTGGAGGTTTACAAAAGCCTAGGCTCTGATTTGGCAGTGCGCTTGGGGTAGTTTAGTGGGGTGATGAAGCACTAAAGGGCACCACGGAGTACCGATATCGTTGAAAAGACAGCTTATTGTAGGGATCCAGTTGCAAAATTGGGCAGTCCGGGCCGAGATAGAAAATGTCCATCTGGTTCCATTCGATGTTTGCTTCGAACCAAATGGTACCGGACATGTATTCACAGAGGGGCCGTTCTGCTGTAGCTGCTGCTTGCGGATGGACTCCAACCCGGGGAATGTAGCCCATGTACAGCTACTCGACGCCTCCCCCGGTCCCCCCAGGCTTCAGTGGGCTGGGTGGGCTGTCGACCGCCTGCATCCCCGCCAGCACCAGCAACGACCTCGCCGCGGCCACGCTGCACAAGTACAGGTACGCGCCTAGATTACGGAGTACCTGCTCGGCGGCTTACCCACTCCAAGGTTGCCTCGGCTCACTACCGCCCTCGGCGTGGAGCTCATGCCCATCCATTCCCTTATTCTTAAACTCCAAAGTCGAGCCGCGATCTGGTCCCGATTCTCTTCTTTTTCTTCCTCTTCCCATTCTTCATCCTCCATTCTCTTTCCCTTCTCTCCATCCATCTGTATACCCCTTTTTCTCCTTCTCCGCGCGCCGTCTTTCTTTCTGCCCTCGTCCACCCCCTCAAATCTTCCACACGTCACAATTATGGCTCCCAGAGTGATTGTTGTTGGTGGCGGCCGTAAGTAGCCCCAGATTGCGTCGTCTCCCGCCTGTTCTTTTTGCCGCTGCTCTTTTTTTTTTTCTCGTTCTCGCGGACGAGTTGGGCGCATGCGCGACAGCGGGAAGAGATTCGGGTTTGACCATCAGTTTGCTGACTTTTGCCATTGCAGTTTCTGGTCTGTCCGCTGCCCACACCATCTACCTTGCCGGTGGCAACGTCGTGGTTCTCGACAAGCAGGGTGAGTACCATTCTCAACAGCGCCATCCTTGGCTGGTCCTCGCATTGCGGAAATCGCGAGAGGTCCCCAGCAAAGCTGTATGAAATGCTGACTCTTCTACTCCAGGTTTCTTCGGTGGTAACTCTACCAAGGCTACCTCCGGTATCAACGGTGCCTTGACCCGCACCCAGGTCGACCACAACATCCGCGACAGCGTCAAGCAGTTCTACGACGATACCCTCAAGTCTGCTCGTGAGCAGGCTCGCCCTGACCTCATCAAGGTCCTCACCTACAAGTCCGCCGCTGCCGTTGAGTGGCTGCAGGATGTGTTCAACCTCGATCTGACGCTTGTCTCCCGACTTGGGTAGGTTTTGTCCCCGTGGCTTGTTTTGATCGCTTTGACTTGGCAGACCAATTTGGCTGACAACTTGTTGTACAGTGGTCACTCACAGCCCCGAACCCACCGAGGCCACGATGCCAAATTCCCTGGTATGGCCATCACCTACGCTCTGATGCAGCGCATCGAGGAGCTTGCCGAGGCCGAGCCACACCGCGTTGAGATCATCAAGAAGGCCCGCGTTACCAGCCTAAACAAGGACGGCAACACGGTCACTGGTGTTACCTATGAGGTGAACGGCGAGACCTCCAGCCTGGACGGCCCCGTCATCCTCGCCACCGGTGGTTACGCCGCCGACTTTGGCGATGGCTCTCTGCTCCAGAAGCACCGCCCTGAGCTCATGGGCCTTGCTACCACCAACGGCACCCACGCCACTGGTGACGGCCAGAAGATGATCATGGCCATCGGCGGTAACGGCATCGACATGGACAAGGTCCAGGTCCACCCCACGGGTCTCGTCGACCCCAAGGACCCCGGCAACAAGTGGAAGTTTTTGGCCGCTGAGGCTCTGCGTGGTGAGGGTGGTCTCCTTCTCAACGGCGATGGCGACCGATTCTGCGACGAGCTCGGCCACCGTGATTACGTCTCCGGCATGATGTGGAAGGAGAAGGACAAGGGCAAGTTCCCCATCCGCCTCGTTCTCAACTCCAAGGCCTCCAACGTCCTGGACTTCCACACCCGCCACTACTCCGGCCGTGGTCTCATGAAGAAGATCACTGGTCAGCAGCTCGCCAAGGAGATTGGCTGCACTCCTGAGCACCTCCAGAAGACATTCCAGACCTATAACGCCATTGCCGACGGCAAGCAGAAGGACCCCTGGGGCAAGAAGTTCTTCCACAACCTGCCCGTCGACATCAACGACGACTTCCATGTCGCTCTCATGGAGCCCGTCCTCCACTTCACCATGGGTGGTGTCGAGATCAACGACAAAGCCCAGGTCCTCAA